TACGGTCAATATTTTGGAGATGCAGGCGTCTGGCAGGCAAAGAGAAGGCGATGGCTTGACAGCACCACCACCGGGAGTACGATAAAGCGGCAGATGCGCTGGCTAAGGCCGCGATGGACCTTAACAGGAGTTGCCAATTCAGTCCTTACGTACAACCACAAATGAAATCGAGGTGAAATTCGGTGCTGAATTATGCTGATACGGATATTGGGTAGAAACTTGATGGAGGGCCCTTCAGGATCCGAAGGCGGAGCCGTGTAAGGCACGGGGGAGATTAGTATAGCTTATCAATCTGCTGCACTAGGGAATAGATCAAATGGTCAAGAGACATTTAATTGACAGGACATAGGAAGTCGCTAGACAAATCATTAACACAAATGAAATCACCTCACTGAAATTGAACGAAGTCGAGAGTGGTGTGTAGAGAATAATCACTTGGATCATGGAGAATAATTAGACAACAACGCTCTCCGTGAATTCGCAATGCAGAGGGGATTACGTTGACGACAACAAGCGCATATACATACCAAGAAAATGTTATTGTGGAGCGGCCCAAAGACGCTGACGATATTGCACATGATAAAGCCTGAGTGTCTGTGGGGAGAGGCAGCTATGCAAGTAGTGTATACGCCGAATTTGACATCAGCTCGATTCACTCAGAATCGTACACAGCGTGAGAAGTTGTAATGTGATGTTCCAGCTATATCATGCCTTTGGACCTGGGGGTGCATTTGCTACTACTGTATTGCTAGTGAATCCTGATCTCACAAGGAGAAGTTGCTTCCAGAATGGGGAACGCAGTTCTAAGTGGTTATCTCCTGAAACGCACAGGTGCAGGGTTTTAAGCCTTGGATCAGGGGGAATCTCCACGCACCGTGCAGAAAGTTTAATTTGGGCAGAAGTCTACACGGTGAGCGGCGCGTATGCTGTGATGCAGCTTGCGAATGCAAACAGTAATGGCGACCACCGGTTGCCTCTGCGAGCCCCTATCATATGTATGCAAATGCAGAATGAAGACGTAGTGCGGCTGGACGCTGTGAAGGCAAGTGTGCTACCGTATACTGGTGATATTGACCAAACAGCGTTTTTCACAATGTTTGAAACGTTGGTGAACGAGATCTCTTCAAAGCTCAACATTGCCGCACGAATAAGATGACACCAGCAACTTTCACGAAGCAGTTGCCTCGTGTTAAGCTCGAGTATTTTCGGAAGCTACTCGGTGCCGTATGCCTAGAAGACGAGATGTCTACGAGTGAGGAGAAGCATGAAGCTTCAGAAGCTCTGGCAGGATCCGTCGCGGAAGGGGTGTGCATGGTAATTCGCCTCGCAAAAACTCTGCGATCGAGTAAGTGTGCTGAACAATGTTCGTACATGTCTGTACTCACGAAGGTCGTGAGGCTGTTTACGAGTATGAATTTTGCAACTCTTAGTGTGGTCATTAAGTTTGTGATGCAGACGTGGGTCAGCTCAGCAAGCATTTGAAGTTCGTGATGCAAGTGTTTGTCAGCTCACCAAACACGATGTTCGTGCTCACTGGCGAGTGAAATGCGAGCAAGGGGGAGTATCGGAATCCCTTTCTATCTTATGTTCTGTATCATTGGTCAGTTCCTATTATAACACTTAGACGCTAGCCAGTAGTATATCTTAATACATTCAGGTTAACGCAGGTGGCGGTACTTGTCGCGGAGAACGGCGAATTTGACAATCCAAGCTCTCCGAACCAAGTACAAGTACTAAACGTCAGGGAAGCTCCTTTGTCTCTTCTAAAACGTGCCACATCTTTCTCCTACTCTACGTCTCGATCGCAGTGTCTACCCTTTAACAGCTTGTACGATTGCTTTAGGTCTGCTGTAAATATCGTGCCCAAATGGAGCGCACATCTACTAACGTTTTGATGAACGCATTTTAGAATCATTTTAATAAAACGGGCGCTTTTTGGAATTCTCCCAATGTATTGTGAGCTCTACTCAAAATTCCCGCATAACGCATAATCTGCTACAAACTTGGCTTAAGGGAGAGTCCACTAAGTACGGTAAACGGCTACTAAGTACGATCTGGGTCGCTTAGAAATAAACAGGAAGTTTGTAGCGATTGACTCATTGAGCGCATGAAAGGGGTTCCGGGGTCTTTGATAGAAAACAAATGTTGAGATTGGTTTTTTTATTACTAAGTATCAGGCGTAATCAAGCTGTTGGTATAGTATTTCGAGGCTTAATAGCTTCGCTAATATCATCATTTGCAATCGCGTTTGGCTACTGTACCAGCTTGGTACCAGCCTGCGTTTTAGCCGTGTTAAAAATGCAGCTAATCATCAACGATGCTGACTTGTTGAACAGCAATAAAATGAAAACGAAATACATTCCTACTACGGTTGCTCACTAAACAATAAAATGGCTACCAATGTCCTTTTTTCATTTTTTTTTAAACAAGCTCTAAAATTATACCGGTTTTGTGTGACCCGGGGGGCCGCCAATGATTGATAACTAAAACGGCAAATTTGGTCAGAGCTCAACATATTTAAGTGTTGTGAATTATGGCCGAATGGCGTTACAGCAACCTAATTAAACCGGATTTTCGACAACAGGACGGAAAATGTGGCAACCTTACGGCTTATTACAACCACAAAGCCGGTAATCTATTATAAATTGCACGCGACACGTGGCCGTCACCAGTTAAAGTCTAAATTTAGAGATGCCAAAAGCATGTGCACCACATGTATGACTGCAATACTAGTAAGAGCAAGCCACAATTGAGAGGTTATTCGCCGGGAAATGTGGTGTCAGACCATCCATTCCAAGTCGTGTCAATGGATTTCGTGATTCTCCTTCCTCGAACTCAGCGGGGCAATACTGCACTGCTGCTGTTCCAGGACCACTTCACGGGGTGCCCAGCACATGTATCTGGATGTGCACCGCACAGAAATCAGACTTGACAAATTCCCAAAGATCTTACACTATAATGGTTCAGAAGACTCTTGCACGGGAGCTGGTTCGCGCAAGGATTACGGAGCTGATGAAGATGAAGGCTATGCTGGTGAAAATGCACACTAGCTTGGAGAAGATGTTAGCGGTTCAGTTGAGGTTTCAATCACTGATTGAAATGTGTGAAGAGCGTGGTTTTGAGCTGGCGGCCGATTTGGACGAGGACGAGGCTGTTTGATGTGGAGTCTTTTCGTTTGGAGTTCTGCTGGGAATAAAGGTGAATAGATAGAAGGGCTAACACAGGGACAAATTCCAGTATACTGAGCGCTTACTACAGAAGCAATTTACCTACTTGGGTTCTTTTTGCAACTTTTGATGAATCGCACTTGTTTTAGCAACATCAGACTTATTCATGGGCTTCTCGGGTGAGTGGTGCACGATAACCAACAACATTCGCAAGCGCATTGCGATGACGCCGCTTTTAGGGACTTTATAGTTTATCTGTCCGTCTCGGGCAAGGTAATTGTTCGCCTGCCCCACGATAAAGACGCCGCAACTGGATACATCGGGTTGCTGAGGGGTATATATATATACCCATTCAATATCGCTAATGACAAGCTGAATATCGGTCATGGAAGCTTAATACCATCTCTTCAAAACCCCGCATAATCCTTTTTTTGGCTCGAATCATTTTTGTCTTGTGGTATTTTTATACAAACCATGAGCATTTCATCGTGATAGGACTCGTCGATTAGCGGCTCATAAATGCGAATACGTGCATTCACAGTTGTTGCGGTAGTCCTCAGACAAATAATAATGATGCCCCAGTGATAGCATCAAAATTTACCGGGTGCAAGATTGAGTAGATGGCTGTCAGTGCCGTTCTTGGTGTGGAAGGCCAGCCAATAGCCCATATCAGAGACGCCAGTACATAGCAATTTTCCACCGATTCACCAAGTGTTTCCAGGCAGAAATCGACGTGCCTATCGTTAAGCCAACCCCGACAAAGTCCACCCAAAATACTGTCGAAGCAGATAATTCCCTTTCCAGAAAGTGTCCCGAACTCCGTTCGTATCTGCTGGATGTGAACTTGGCTATCACTTCGTTTGCTAACTATCTGTGACGATCACAAACAGCAAAAGCGGGCAAACCGAAAGTACCCGTCTCCTCCGCAAACAGATTCACATTCGATCGAACCTTGCGCCAATCTTGCTCAAGACACTACGGGTCTTCGAGCCACGTACGAATTTTAGTCTTGATACCGTGGAATCCAGGTAGCGCTTTGACAAAATTACTGCAAAACAAACCGTATAGATAAAGCAAACACATATAACAACCTTTAAAAACAACCGTACGCGTAAAGCAACTTTACCTTCTTATCTTCCACAGCTTCGGATCGATTGTGGCAATCGGATCAAGAGGGACCACTTGGTGTTCCACTATGGCGTCAAGCACGTCAGTCGTACGCTGTTCTTTCCATGCTGTTGTGTTTGCTGCTTGCAGGGATCGTGTGCGGCCAGCGGGGATCGCAAATGTATGTATGTAGTCTATTGATCGGCTGAAATTACAGGTCATTTTGCTTGCCTCAACCTGTGAAAGTTACGAGGTGGGAGCTGGTGCATTACAACGCTGCTGCGCTGGTGGCATCTCGTCCTCGAAGTCCGACATAGTAGTGTTATCCGTGGAGCCATCCGTGGTCGGAGTGCTATCCTTGACCTCGTCCACTAGCCTCAAGGTTTCCATTACATCGGAAGAATCAATCGACGAAAAAGCATCAGTTCCGCTTTCATCATAAGCGTCAACGCCACCCCAGCTTTTGGTAGTGCTAGCGGTCACCGTAGACCGACTTAAGCCAATCGCCACGGTTTCCTTTCATGCAGCCAGCTCCTGATAGAACTCAGCACTCGATAAGCAGGATAGACGCTCGAGAAGTGGTTCCAGCATTGCTTTAGCGTAAGCGTACTTCTCTGCCGACAACAATACTACTTTGTTGGCACGTTCTTTGCGGTGGAGTAGCACGAGGACTACCTCGTTTTGCTTTGTTGCCCCCCCCCCCCAACTCGCTCGGTAACATTTTTGTCAAATGGCGTCTTTAGCTTCGGCAACTTTTACTTTGACATTTAGGCCTCAGTGGGTCAGCCGCAGCACCGAGATCACTGTTCGTTCGTAGCGCAGCGTACGTACTCCACCGGTCATGAATGGCCAAAACCGGAAGCACGTCAAATCTGTGACCAACGTCAGCAAGGTGCATAATGTGACGACACGGAAGCTGGTTACTCTTGTAGAAAAGACAGCTGCAACTTCATTTAATGTCATCACACACGTAGGTTTGATTGAACGAGTGAATCTTCTAGCACGAAACACTCCCTGCAACTCGCTTGCACGTAGCACCGTCCATCAGATTTACAAATCGCTCCCATTCCTTCTTCACCACGCTCGTAGATAATCTCGTGGCCACGTCTCAGAAATTTCGGGACAGTCTTTGGTACCCGCGTCGTTGAGTGATGTTGGTTAATTTTAGATACAATCTTCTTCGCAGTAGTCAGCTGGTGCAGCAACAGACCGGCGATCGTCTTGTCAATTCTCGTCTTATGTCCCAACATCTTTACTTGGTTTTAATTTGACTCGAACCTGTTTTGCATGGTATTTCCAGCGGTAAATAATGCTCCCCTGGCAAAGTTTGCCCACATCACGACAGGAGCCCCATTTTTTCTCGAAGTAGGAAAAGAAAGCTAGGCGCTTCTTTTTCTTGCAGTACTACCGTAATGCCATGTAGGACAGGTGTACCGGATCTGCGTTGTGCTAAATTATATGCGTGAGTGATAGAATGGATTTTTTAACCTAGCATAAAAGACATCCATACCTGTAGAGAATTTTGTTCATTTGCCTCAGTAATTTCTCCTCTTCCGACACCATCAAGCGAAACACAGGACGCTTCATGATCTTCCTTTAGTATGCGATCGCGAGAACCTGGCACAACAGTATCGTGGCTTCAGGGAACGCGTCCTTCAGAACACTCCACGTAGCCCTTGTCAATCACCACAGATTCTATCTGCGTCCAGCCAGGTTTATTTTTTCTTTGAAGTACTTCAAGATTCTTGATATTGTCACAGCCTTCTCGTTAAGGCTGATGGAGGCAACTACTGGGACCTGTAGCCGTTGTGACGACCAAACTTCCTGTGTAGCATGCCATATCAGCAACGAAAAGTAGCGCTAGGAATAATGTCGCTATATTCTAGAAAAGGCTGCTGAAAAGGTTGCTATAGAAGACAAAGTTGCCATAAATAATGACGACGCACCCAAGTGATACTCGTCCCATGACTGAAGTCCATCGCTAAGGTCTCACCCCAGCGCTCAAAAAGCAGCTTCTGCGCCTGCGTTTGCATGACAACCCCGCACGTTACACCCGTTTGCTCTTGCATTACGAGCACGTCGCTCCCATTCAGTTGTCGAAGCGCGTGAAACATGTCCGATAATCGATCTTTGGCGGAATCGCGTCCCATGATAATGCGTACGAGATTACGAGTCGACTGTGAGGTTATCTTGCAGCCTTATTCAATGAAAGATATAATACAGCAAAACGCTAGCTCAAATTTAAGTTTTAAATAGACACCACCTCAGCAAAACACGGTCAGCGTTCCATACCAATGCGCTCGTTCAAAAAGTTGATGATATGCTTGGAAGAAACGCATGCGTCCGCCAAAGGCTTCACACACTCACGATCTTGATCGTCCAGTAGTAGCGTCTTCGCTGTCATGTAAGTAGAAACTTGTGTCACTGTGGTCGGGTGTGTGTATCTGTGTGTCTGGAGGGGGGGGGTCCCCAAGGCTCAAGTGATGCTGCCATCCACTTTTAAAAGACTATGGAGGAGTGTTTCAGCAGCTTGCTGTACAAGCACCTCCTCATCTGGATCGATGACCTCTTGCTGTACGCAAACGACATTGACGTCTACCTGGAAAAACTCGCTGAATTTTTTTCTCTTCTCAATAAGTTTGGCCTCAAGTTGAGTGCCAAGATAACGAGCTTATACCAAACAGAGGTTAAGTGGTGCGGTAAACTCATCAATGGTGAAGGTATCCGCCATGACCCCGAGAGAATCGAGTCGCTACGCTCGATGCCATACCCTACTACTGCTGGTGAGCTCCAGCAGTTTGTGTGTGCAATAAACTGGATGCGAGAGAGTATCGTGGACTTCGCCCGTCAAGGCCAGCCTCTCCAGAGCCTATTAGATGCAGCGCTCGCTGACCCAAAGCGGACGAAAAGAGTTGCAGTTGGATTCAAAGCTCGGTTAACTACCGAAGAACCTTTGGCATTTGACCGAGTCAAGGACATGTTGGCTGATGCGGCCACCTTGGCGTATACGGACGACAACGCGACGACTTGTTTGTTTACCGACGCCAGCGACATGGGCTGGGTGGTAATCGTTACACAAGTAGCCGACTTTGATCCGAAGACTTCTGTGACACAACAACAACACAGGTTACTTACCTGTATGAGTGGAACTTTCACTGGTAGCCAGCTCAACTGGACCGTCATAGAGAAGGAAGCTTTACCTATTGTCCTTGCCTGCGAAAGGCTGGACTATCTTCTTCTCCGTCCCAAGGCTTCCAGGATGTTCTGCGATCACCGGAACTTGGTACACGTTTTCGCACCTAATGAGAATGTCAAGAAACACGTAAAAGGAAAGTTGTTACCTTGGTCCATGATACTTATGGGATTCCAGTACATCGTGGAGCACGTACCTGGACCCGAGAATGTCTGGGCTGACATGGTTTCTCGGTGGGTCGGCAACCACACACCGAGGGCGACCTTGAAGCGGCTGAAAATGATCCGGCGCAGTCAACCTCGCCGACGAACTGAACTCAGACCGCTTGACGACGATACGTTTATGTGGCCTTCCTTCGCTGAGCTCGTGGAGACGCAGTCCAAATTCACGCCACCGGATTGTGCGGTGCGCTCCGAAAATGGCGATCTTACCTGGAATGACTGTATTTGGATCCCTGCAGAAGCTGTTGACTTAATTCGGAGGCTGTGCGTTGTGGCACATTGCGGAAGCCAAGGACATCGTGGCCAGCAAGCAATGGTGTCGCACCTCCAAAGTCTTTTCTCGATCGACAACCTGCGAAGGATTGTGGCTACATTTGTGAATGACTGTTTGCATTCCCGAGGGGGGAAAATTATCCCAAGACCGTGGGGAAAACTGATAAAATGCAACGAGCGAAACAAGGTCCTTCATTTCGATTACCTATATCTGGGCCCGAGCTACGGAACGAGTTGCTACATTCTGGCACTTAAAGACCACGCAGCACACTACTGCGAACTAGTGGTGGCGGGCTCGGCGGAAAGTCCTGTTGTGGAGGAAGCTTTACTAGCCTGGCACTCTCGCTATGGAATACCGCCGTCCTGGGTATCGGATCAGGGGGCACACTTCAAGAACGAAGTAGTGGCTGAGCTGAGTCGTAGACTCCGCACACAGCAGACGTTTACGCTGGCATACAGCCCATGGGTGAATGGTTCAATCGAGCGAATTAACCTCGACATTCTCCAGGTCATTCGTGCGATGCCGCTGGAACATCGGATAAGTCACAAAGATTGGGTGTATTTGGTGCCATTAGTGCAGTCAAACCTGAACCACACTGCTGTGCCTTCCTTAGGCAACCATTCGCCATTGGAGCTGTTCACGGGGTTGGAAAACCCAACGCCGCTGAGCGAGTTCTACCTGCCTGACAGACGCCGCCTGCAAACAATCCCTGCTAGTGCTGAGGTAGACGGCTACCTGGCGAAATGGAGGGAGAGCATAAGGTCAATGCACTGTGCGGTGGAGGACAGACGAGAGAAACAAAGGCTCCTGAATAAGAAACGTGAACGTGGTTAGAACGTGGTAAACTTCACCATCGGTGATTACGTGCTAAGGTCCCGAGTGGACGAGAAGCACGGCAACAAGTTACAGGTGATGTGGGTTGGTCCGTACAAGTTGACGAGAGCCGACACTTATTCATTTCGTGTGAAGCACCTCGTGACTGGTGATGAACAAGATGTTCATGCATCAAGGTTAAAGTTTTACTCCGACGATAGCCTAGAGGTGACGGACGAGCTCTTGGAGCATGTGTCCTTACAAGGCATCGTGTTGGCAGTAGAAGGACTAAAAGGGGCACAAGTGGAATAGTGACATCAATGCCTTTGAAATCCTGATCAGCTGGAAAGGGCTACAACCTATCGAGGATTCGTATGAGCCCATGGGTGATTTGGTCAAGGAGATCCAAGTATTGGTTGGGAACTATGTGTCAAGTACCGATGACCAGCGGCTTCGTGAGCACTGGCAATGGCTTCAAGGAGGACGTGAAGATGGTTTAGAGCATGCGGATCGCCAGCTAATACTGGAAGCGCGGCCGAACACGGACTCCGGAACAACACCGTCGACTTGCGGGGGCCTCAGGGTGAAGCCCGGCAGGCACGTCCTCGTCTCACTGGACAGAAGCGACGACATAGAACCGCTAGCAGACGCAAGCGGAGAAGTAATCGAGCGACTAAGGAAGAGCCTCAGGCCGACTCACAACATACATCGGGGCAGACTGTGGACGGGAATGGTGAGCTGCACCTGGGTGCCGAGGTCCAAGAGCCTCCACCTCCTCGAGGTCGCCAAGTACGAGCTGAGATGCGGATTGGGACGCCTTCACGTATTCAGCCACGCCGTTCAAGTCGCCGTAGGGACCGGGGACAGGGCAGTTAGTTGTTCGGTGAACACTACTGTGACGGAGATCGGTAAGACGAGGACAGGTGAAACCGAGCTTCGGGGGCTGTGTAGTGAAGTGTGGGTTTCCACCTCGGTTTCCCTTGCACTTAGAGCCGGAGCTGGGGGTGTTCACCCAAATGTGTCTGTAGGCCAGTGGCTAGAAGACAATGAGTGGAAATCTGGTGGTGTGTCTGACGCCTGTCGGCTGACGATATCACAGACACTCGGACAGCCATTGTCCCTGTGTGTTAAACTAGGATTTAGTAGGGCCTACTGCATGTTTCCTTTCATGTGGATGCGTGTCCATTTCTGACTGCTGTATGTCGCTCTGATCAAGTGGCAGCAGCATTGAGGAGGAACGGGCTGGCTAGCGCCAGACCCATGATCCTCCTCACTTTTCGATTTGCTAGGAACTAGCTAAATACATTCGGCCTATACTTCAGTGCGGGTTGGCCCCCGTCTTGCTGGTGTTCCTACTTCGCTTCAAATCCCGGGCTACACTACAAAGAATTTTTTTCGTCTGGCGTTTGTAAAACAATTTTAGTGAACTTCTCTAGTACACACCAAAACTTAAAACTCGCGTACGGGTCTGAAGATCTGGCTCAGCGGGATAGGCGTGACTATCCTAATCTGCTGGCGCAGGCTCGAGCCCGTCTCCGGTGCGGTTTTTCGAGTCGATTACACCGACACATGTATAAGCACCACGATTTGTGGTAATACTGTAAAAAACGGTTACTGCAAGTTCAAAGCGGATATTTTTGTATTGAAGACATTATAAGCAAATAATAGACTCACGTTTGGTAATATTTACAATTTTGAACTCCTTGAGCCAGAGCAGTCATTTCACCATTTCAAGTGAAGCTAAGAAACAAGCAATGTCCGCGAAGAGCCCTCTGGTAAAGATGCCCTGTGTGGGCTGTGGCGAACTTGTTGGAAGTGTTCACACTTGGCCTGATTGCTAAACGAACATGCACCCATTCTGCGGGACCCCTGTAGGACCTGATGGCTTTGGGCAACCGGTCCGGTGCCCAAAGTGAAAACGTCGTGAAATTGAAAAGCCAACCAGTGCCTCGCCCATAGTGGTCGCGTTCAACTATGCCAGGAAGGCAATGATCAGGTGTGGTCTCTCGCTGGGAATCGACGGTACCTGGAGCCCAAAGCTGCTATTCCCGCATCTCCAGGAAATCATTCAGAAGCACCCCGATGAGTTTGCAGGTAAGACTTCAGCTACAAGATCTGCGAATATAGAGAGCAGTATGAGCGACAGCGTCAATAGTGACCGCTGGAGTTATATACATCATCAACAAGAGTGCCGATAATTGACACTACTTGTACCACACATAAAATAGTGTCAGCTCAAAAATAGTGACAGTGACATTAATATATGTGAACAAAACCTCAAGCACCTCACATAAATTAGTGTCGGTGGCACTATTTGCGGTGATTACTGTATTCTAAACTATCAATGCTAGCACGGTGTCCCACACGAAACGCTCAGGTTTTTGAGCCTTCCCATTGGCCGCCGTGCCGAGCGAAGGCGGCTTCGATTGGTTAAAACTGAATTATGTAGCTTACATCAGCAAATTAATGTGGTTCACAGAGCATATATAGAGATTTGCACAATACTTAATAATGTATGCTGCTTTTAATATTTGAGTGCTAAACAGACAGAGCTACTTATTCTCAAATGAAATAGCCCCTTAAGCCGCTTCCTATGCTACAAGGTGCTTAGCGTACACGTAGGAATGCGTGTTTTCGAGGCCATACTGTAATATACGTAATACTGTTTCTGCAAGTTTAATAACGACAACTGTTTTGTTGTTGAAATATTAAGAAATTATATGAGAGTGAGGTAACTGACTGAGCTGCCAAATCGTAGTACATGTACAACAGAAGCTGGCCTTAAGAACCGGCCATAAGAACAACGCTGCTAATAAATGTTGTCACTTGATCCATAAAGATAGATAGTTTTAGATTGGATAAAATGAGGTCATTTGTGTTACAGCTGTAATTCATTGTTTTCTCAGAGTTGTTTAGGCAGCAAAATCCGATACTACTTAGCTGCGGACGTGTCGTCGACAGGGGCGTACGATACGATTTTAAATGGAGCGGCAAAACAGCAACAAAACACCACTCGTAACGCCATAAACGATGACACCTTTCAAGTATTGTGCCTCACGAACGGCGTTTGTCAAGCGAATTAAGACTTTTCGTGCTGGGTCCCAGACTGTGTTACGCACCAGGCTGAGGGTAATTGTGTCTGCAGGATTCTCCCTTCTGCGCCTGCGGTGTTTTGCTGCCTGAAGGTAATTAGCGTACACTGAGTTGGCTTCACCTGGACTTGGAAAGAACAAACGAAATGAGTACAACAGCGGCGATGTCCTTGCAGCGTATCGCATGCATGCCGCCGGAGACCATCTTTGCTTCTCGTTCATGTACATGGAGTGCGACACAACCAAACAATCCGTGGCTCCCCACTGCTTAACGATTTGACGTAGCTGAGTTGGAGATACGTTATTTCCGTTGCGGTACTCTAGCTCATTCAGAGACAGCTTCGTGGCCAACATGCCAGTGTACGCGGGTTGTACTCATACCAATGTCACCGTATCACGGGTCGTGATGGGGATATATCCCCTATTTATCAGTTGCCACAGTGACCGGTCTTGCCGCACAGGAACTCCTTTGAGATACGCCTGGTCTTTGAGCTCGAGAAAGAGGTCATTGTCTTCGAAGTTGATGCCATTCTGCTGACAGAACACCAGGTTTTATGTCTTGAAGTCAGCCAACTTCCACTCGCAATCGCTAGATACCACCACCGAGAACGGATTCAGGCTCCAAGTTTATTAGCGTTTCGTTATGGGGTTAGCTAACCCAACTATAATTCACACCTCTCCTATTTCTCAAGGAGGCTTTTGAACGTGCTGAATACACGCCGGAATCTGTCGAAGTACGAAGAGGCCTAAGCAAGTCTGCGGTGGTAACGTTTAGCTGAGCCGATGAAGTCCACGAGGTAGTCCGCCAGTTCGGGCCAGAAGCTGTAGAACGATTACAAGTCGGTGACATACCGCTTCGAATTCGAGCAAGAAGTGGTAATGGCTGCTGGGAATACCATCACACCGGTCATGTCCGCCGCAATTTCCCCCAACTAACATCAACGCAGCAACACCGAGACGCACGTAGATCAAACGCACACCCGACTTAAAGCACTAGTCAGCTTACGGTACCTCACAACATGAACGACGCTGAGCGGCTGGTGGATCGTGCCATTGAAGCCAAGATAGCCACTGTACACACATCACTAGCAAACATGACGCGTTATTGCAAGGCGGCCGAACAACGTTGTCAGACTCTCGAAAAACGATTAGATGGAATGGATGAGATCTGGAACGCAAGGATGGTGCAAATTGTCCAGTTCGCTCTAGCGAAGCAGACTGCTGCCGCAACAGTAGTGCAGTGGAGACCAAGACGACACAATGGGCGATTCACGGAACGAAACAAACATTGGCCACGCACCGAGTCCGTATTTTGCGTAAGGAGGCCACATAAGCCAGGTAGAACAAGTAAAATGGCCTTTAAATGGCAACTTCTGTGGATGATAGCACTGTTTATGACACTGACAGGTCAGTTAACAAGGGCAGCTTTGGTTAACGACGACAACCTTCGAGCGACGCTGGTAAGGCCCGAGGTCTACAGCGAGCCTAACCTGGATATGAACTCCCCGAGTGGATTTGACGAATCCGTGCTAGAGGATCAAAGATGTGCGACTATGGATGCCACTACACGGAGAGCGGAGCGAGGGTGTCGATACTATCGCCGGTGGCGACCAACTCGGTGTGCTTTTCCAAGCACGCGTGCACCTGACCGAAGCACGATCCTTCAGTCTATTCGTCAGCGGGAGCACTACTCGGGGGACTACATCGGCGATGACGTTCCATCAACGATCGACACGGAGCACGATATTTCCATTTGTACGGTGAACATATACAAAAACTTACGGCATAAAATGGATCAGTAGTTAGCTGGATGGATACTGGCGAATGACATTGACATAGCAATTGTAAGTGATACCGGACCCCGCCCGCAACGCTCTGAGCAAATCTGGGTATCGACTGCCGAACCCCAACGACCAATACCAGGCCTTCTTCTAATCGGCACCAAACGGATTGCAATGGTGTTCAGCAAGGAGCGATGGGAAAACAGAGTGATCAAACATAGCGTATGTTACTCGCCCACAAGGAGATCCATGTGCGTTGCCGTACGGCTAGCCAAAGCGCGAGAGTTATGGATGATTGACACGTACATTCACCACTCCCCGGAACGGCATCTCGATGAAGTACACGATGAGTGGGCATGGATTCACGAGCGGGTGGTAGAGGGCCGAGTCCGCTGTGTTATGGTCATGGTGGCGGGCGACTTTAACACCTACACGGACGACGTGCTAGATAGATCAGGGACCACAGTTCGTTCCGCGAGCTCGCAGGCGGTGAGCCGGCAATTTGCAGCATGGACGGACTCTCTCGGATTCGTCTCTACATTTCGATGTAGACACCCGACAACGCCTCGGTATACGTACTCCAGACAGGGTACTCGGTCCACGCTGGACGACATTTACATCTCTGGAGAGCACGAGACAGCGATTGCAGCTAGCGCTAAATCGATTAACAGCGTTACAACGAGCGACCACGCGGGTGTGCCAATGATAGTCATGCGGACAGATCGTGGGGTGCGAATTGCTTTTACCCTTCAACATGTAACCCTCATCAAGGTTGTTAATACACAGCAAAAAGCGAAGGAGGAGATGAAGGAGCTTACAGAGGACACACGGACAATGTTACGCTATAGCGAAATCTTTCTTATTGATGATATCGAGGCTGCCACCAGCACACCTGACGAGAGACTAGTGTGGCTTGAACAAGCGATTGACAACCTATGCTCCTGTCTCTATCTGAGTGTCAGGAATCTCTGGGGAGAAAGCAACCAGTCCAAACGGCAGCTGACGCGAGCTGTGTGTATCAAGAGGGGTAACCGTTGCACAGCTCAGCTTCGTCAAGCGCGTATCGTCCTAGACCAAGCAGATATTACTATTGACGACATTCAGGTGATCGCTGGGGCGATATGCTGGCCGAGGTGGGTTGCCTTCCCCGATACGGTGGTCGAAGGGAGCTACCATCAGAAAGGAGCGCGCAAGCTGAACGCGATAGTTGCCGCACCACTCGAATCCATGTAGATATCCGACTGGGTCGAGTGGTTTATGACTATCATTAAACGTTTGGAGGAAGACAATTCGGACACGCCGAAATTGGAGACAAACAACACGGCGCAGACTATGCCAGGAACTGCGCCGAAACTGGTTCGTCAGTGGGGCGACTAAGGCGTTCCTCCAGAGCTATTTTAGGTAAGCCACCCCCACCGGTATCTATCCGCAGTGCCATAATACCGGGCGATACTGGGCGGAGTTACACTGAAGACAGGGCGGAGGTGCAAAGGCGGCTAACGGTCTTACTAGACAATTGGATTCCCGTGGATGAAAGGACAACCAGGCCACGGTACTTAGACACTCTGAATCCAGACGATATTCATACACTTCCACAATTTGCATAGGAATGGATTCTTCCTGATATCGTGCGAGGAGGACGGTACGCCGCCGCGTGGCAGACTGCCGGCAAAACATAGCAGGACTACCACTACACGGCGGCGATGCAAGCAGAGATTGATAAACAGCTGAAGCAATATGCTGCACCAGGGTACGGTGGGGTTTCCCAAGAGATGTTAATTTCAGCTCCGGCACAAGTGAGGCAGCGAGAACGGGAGATTATTGAGCTAATCCTACGTACCGGACTAGCTCCGAAGATACTACGCCGAAAACAAATGGTATTGCTGCCGAAAACGCCGAATGTGGACCCAACATTAGATGTGTCTAAGGGTTTACCACCACGGCGGCCGATCACGGTCCAATCTGCCCTTTGCCAACCGACTCTTTCTTGTAATAAAGCAGTTCGTCGATGGTGGCATACCACGCAGTCTTCTGCAACACGGATTCCGGTCGGACAGGTCTGTCATAGACGCCGCACTAATGACAACGCTGCTAATTGAACGAGCAAAGGTGTTGAAGGAGCTACTCCTACTAGTATCTAAAGATTGTCTCAAGTGCTATGACCGTATCCCCGCGTGGGTTATAGAGCTCATATATCTCGGACTAGGAGTTCCGGACACCGTGAAAAAACTGATGATTGATCTACTGGGACCAGGTGAAATTGAAGTGAGAGCATCGTTCGGATGGATTGCCACAGGGGAGCGTGAATTCGGCATTGGTCAGGGCTCGATCCTCGCTATTCTACACATCGGAGTGTACATGGATGCCTACAAGAGCAGCTCGAGAAATGCGTAGACCCTGTCGTCATCAGACATAGTCAGAAAGGCCACGGGATTAACATTGCCAGCACCATGTTTGTGGACGATCAACTGGACGTGACAGCATCATATAATGGACGGGTGGATCGTGCGAGGGTCACCAATATGTTTACTGGTAAATTTGCCACAGGAGGTGCTTTCGGCTCAGCGAAGTCGTTCCAGATGTATCTCGCTAGGTCCACGGAGCATTACCCAGCAGTGCACATAAATGCCGTCCACGGAATACCACAACCAGTGCAAATTTTTGTCACCAGAGCAAGGCTTTAAACATCTTGGTATATATCAAGGCGGAGAGGACCAGTGGGCGGCGTCGCTCGAATCAACATGGCAACGAATAGTGTCGGACACCGATCGAGTACAACGTCTAGGGCTTTCGCTACCAGGACTCCGTTACGTGGTGATCCATATATGGATTCCTCGATTGCGCTACCGCATGGTTCTTGGCGGGTTCGTAGACGTAGCAGCGAAGGTGGATATATTCATCCGTCAAGTGGCGAGATCGGTGCTACGACTGCCGCTCAACGTGAATACAGCTGTGTTCTATGATAAAGAGAATGGCCTGGGTCTGGAAAACTGCGAGGCTGACGCGAATACGTACCACTTAGTGGAGGCGCTACGCATCTTAAACTCACCGTCTCTCCCGGTCCGTCATCTTCTGATAGAGTGTTTAAAGGCATACCAAACCCGAGCTGGATTGACATGGCACCCGCTAACTTACCCCATCACACCACCGAGAGGTGCTCGGTCTTGGACTGCTCAACTGATCCGCCACGCAGCGTCGTTTGATCCACCGCTCACCATGGCAGTGGAGTGGACACAGCCACTCCAATCCCGATCTAGCCGTAGCAATGATCGACCTCTCATTGACTACACTCCCTCGGAGCAGCAGTGTTCTCTTGTCGCCATCAACTGGAAAGCGGCGTTCAAATTGCGCTACGTCGGCGATATCTCTAACGTTTCCGGCACACAAAGCATGAAGCTACCGGAACTGATGAGAAAGGGTCACTGGTCGGTTAACGATCGCATCACTCTGGAGAGCATGTACGATCACTGGGTAGAGGCCTTAATGAGGCCAGATACCAACCGTCTCCGTAGTCCAGTCGGCTGTACTCCGGTAGAACTTGGTTCGACTCCATTCCAACTACGCATTGGGGTGGGTCAGTGGATAGTTGTGGTGAAGATGAATAGTAACGGTACGGAGCCAGTAATTGACCACTACGAAATCGGCTACAGAGAAATCGGGGACGTGGGTAGTCATCCCCTCGGCCATACAATTCCGATCCGATGGTGGTATGAACGCCCCCGCGGAAGTGGTGTGTTCTACGAGCGCCGACATCGGGTCGTGGAAGCTGAATTTGAGGCAGTGTGTGTACCTATCTCACCGACCTACCTACCTACGATGCCATCGCGCCGACAGCGGGTTATCATCTGGGATTTAACTGTCGTCGACGGCAAGCACGGTGTCAATAATGACGAAGTACTGGATGAAGCCCTTGCTAGAAGCCGCATGCGCTATCTATCTGTTATCCACCACGGTCACACGCTGCAAAATGACGACAGCCTACTCGATATGCGGCCGTTACCGAGACGCACAATGTTGTCGTGAGTGTGGGCGGTGGCACCACCCTCAATGAGTACGTGGGAGCTGTCGTGTGATAGGAACTGTAGACAAAGATGGCCTCCTCATAGCGCAAAATTAGGCTCTTCAATACCAATGGTCCACCAACAGCTCTGACGTATCCGTTTCAGCCGGAGACGGTAGCGTGTTAGCGGCGTGCACTCAGCACCTGGGCCATGCAACAGCCCGAGGGCCAATCCGTAACAGGTCGGATGGCGATTCACAAGATCGATATTACGTCGACCCGATGCGAGGTACACGCGCTGATGGCCGGGTTGATAGCTACTGGGGACTGCGGTCAGCAAGTGTGTGACAACCAAAGCGCGATACAGATCTTCAATAGGGCACGCAAAATTGCAAACGGCGACGCACAGCCCAAGTACCGGGATCCGCATCGAATCGAAATTCGTTCGTTGCAACGTCTTATGCACGAACACGGCACAATGGTACCGAAATGGGTTCGGTCTCACCAAGAACATGTAGCGACTGACGATATGAGCCTGCAACAACAGCGATCGGCACTAGCGGTGGTTGATACGGCGGCGGAGCGGCCCATGAACAGCGAATGACGATGTCGTATGCGGGTTGGGTTGACTTCGATGAGTACATGGTCTACGACAGTGAAAATCGACTAGGTTTTGGGAACACAACAAAGTATTTAAGGGAGCGTTCGTATGCTGATAGACGTCAGAAATGGATCGCAAAACAACACCGTCCCAATGAAGACCGGCACACAATGGCATACAATGAAATCCCCATGATAACGACTGGAAAATGGTCAGTGTCGTTTCTACTGGCGTGCCAAGCTGATGGCCTTGCATACAAATGCAGTAAAAACACGTTCGACAGCCGATGGTCCGCGGTATGCGTTAGCCGCAACTGCAGCGAGGCCGACACACAGCAGCACCGATTTGGGCTTACGCAGCCAACATGCAGCGAGGTATCTGACCTTACAAATATGCCTGGAACAATGTATGTGGAGGTGGAGCGTATGCTTTGGCTTCCTGACCAGATACTGTTACTTCCGTCATTAGGCCATACAATTGCCTTAAATCTACTACTCCCGACCAGAGCGATGTGGAATGATACGGGTGCCAAGACGACGATATGGAAACCGTTCGTACGGCTAACAGATGGTGTGTGGGTCAACGCACAGTGGATTGAATGGTTTAGCGCCCCACAGGTCTTGAGTAGGAACCCAACGTTCATCAGAGCCATAAGAGAGGAACAGTCTCTGCGGAAACGGGCTCCAGGAGGCCGGCTACTGCCGACTCGACTGATCGACGCAGTTCGGCAAATCGACCCTGACATTGGGCTCTACGACGCGCTACCAGGGCAGATTACGCCTGGGTGGTCAGCGGTGACGCTAGCCTTGGACGCTAGCGTCGACGAGTTTGAACACCTGCACTCGCTCGTCGACCCGCAACAGGTACAGAGCTGGTGGATCGATGACATATACGTGCCTCACTCATCCGTGTGGTGGGATGAATGTCTCCTGTCACAAGGTGGACGCATTTACTGGGTAGCGGCTTTCACCAACTCGGTGGGTTTTGCAAAGTGTACCAGCGCTGGATGCCGCTGGCTCGTTAGGATACCAGCGGGAGAACTCCATATGCGTATGGACTACTCCGTTATACAGACGGAACACCATCAATCGTTCAAAGCTATTTTCTCAAAGAACACGCTTGCAATTACGATCGGAATTGTATCGCCTCCTCCGCGGCTACGTCATATAGTCAGCGAGGCCCGACGCATCTGGGCCGGTACGGTGGGCCAGTTCGGTGCGTCAAAGTGGCTCATTCACCCCCAGTCGGACGAAAATTAAACTCAACGCTCTACTCTAGGGAAACATCCATACTTTGAGTGGTATACCACACAATCGGATCCAGGTGCGTTTCCGCTATGGTGGAGCCGCGTGTGGCAACAAGTGGATCGCCTCGATCTTGCGATCTACACGGCCCCGATGGGGTGGAGGAGTTACCCGACAATGACCATCCGCAGCGTGACGTGTGCGGAACCTATGTCTTATACAAAACGTGGTGCTCGACTCTTTCACAATCAGCTGTTCCTCGGAATATGGGAGACATTGCACGAATATTGGAAGATCAGCTGCAAGCGCTGTAACACCGAAATTCGGTGCCGTCGACGTAAAACCCTGTGCAAGGTGGTCAATGCTGGCATTGTGTCACGACGGAAAAAATGGGCCAAGAAGACAAAGGAGCGGGTGACGCATGCTATCAGCACGAGAAAAGCGAATCTTCGATCCCGGGGCAGACGGTGGGCCGACGACCGGAGACATCGCCTAACTGAGCATGGGAGTCGGCTTGGAGCCTCTTAATTATCAACTGAGACCTCATTCGGACACGATGCACGAACATGACAAATACCAACAGAGCAGCTACTGGCATGGTTGAGCGCCACTCGACCATGCCAAGCCCTTCAAAACCCTGGAAAGACCTGCCAACACCGGTGGGTGCTTCTTCAGGGGCCATGTATATGTATATTCTCTTTTCTTTGGTAGCTACCGCAGGAGCTAGGCTAGCACTAAGGGTCTGTAGGCGAGGATGCAGCGTAGCGCGCCTCGGGCGTAGTCGCCATAACCGCAACAAATTCAAATTCAAATAAAAAACTTGGAGCCTAAATGACGTTTAACTATCATGTAATTATCGTTAAGCTATCAAATCAAAAGCACTACTGTCGACATCAACAACAGCAAGGCACATTATCTAATGCTTTAATCATAACTGACACAGAATCGAGTGTCTAATGACTAATTCTGAATCAGCACAAAATGAACGCTGCATGCATAAAAATATTATAATTCGAATTTTTTCTAGCTTTCATTGAGTTTTGTGTGGGAAGTGAACATTTTTTAGTTACTTACAAGCTCAAATAGTCAGTACAAGCGGGTAAGTAGTGCAACCTGGACAGACCATTACTATCATGTGAGCTCAGAAATGGCCCGTGATATCGAGCTCGACGCTAAACTAAACATATTGTGTTGCGTTTGTAAAAATGTTATTTGAAGTGCAGGTGGTTTTGGGTGGAAGATGGAGATACATTGATAGCTAACAATAATAAAAAGATTGCATTAAGAATATTGATCCAAGATCATTAGAACAATTATTTCAATAAGGAAATATGATGCTAACCCAGATTAATGAAATAAAAAAAAGTGATTTAGGCACAGGGGTTCAGCAGGTTTTTCAAGAAGTATCCCGCCGAAGCGGAAGGAAGGTCAAAGCAAATATTAATAAAACTAAACCTAAACCACCGCCGCTTAGCGGCGGCGCTCGGCTAGTAATAGTAGTACTTCAGCTAGTCTTTTTTTTACATATTACTGTTTGGATTAAAAGCAATTACGCAATCTTTGAAACAAATAAAATTGTTTGAGCTTATATTAATCTGATATTTAACAGTATCATTTTGTCAAAGAAGAAAATATTAGGTGATCGTTTTTATAAAGAGGTGATACTTTCACTTTATTAACTTCACTATACCTCCCGAGCAAAGTTTGAACATGACGTGGAAATTTATGCAAATCACCGAAGGAATGCCCACGCCACCGAATGAACGAATATATCATAAGTATGCCAATAATACTAGGAAATCTAGACTTCAACAGAAGATTCCAGAATCGCTGTTCATTCGATCTCGCGCGCACGATAAGGTACTTGGTGGTGGATTGACCACTCCACTAGATTGCCCCCTCGTTTCTCATTTTGCAGTCTACAACACCTATCACCATGGCACCCTCCCAAACAAGCACCCCCCCCCCCCAAGACCTAAACCAGCTACTCCCGCTTGAGCGAGTTGCTGAAGGAGTCTCCATTCTCACTCAGCTCGACGCTGACAGTCAATCCCGCCGCCAAAGCGTATCCTCTGTGCACCTAGATGTCGACAACGATGACATCGACTCGCCGTCTCCGATCTACCACCAATTTCTGCGGGAGGATACCCAGAATATTGCCGCTCTGACAAACTTTGCGCCGCTGAAATTTGGAACTCTATTCGAGCGCACGTGGCTGACCACTGGAATGTAGGACGTGGTCGTAAGAGCAAACAGCAACCCAAGGACGTGCTGTTCATGTTCCTGGTCGTCCTTAAGCACTGTGGGAAATGGGACGTGGTGGCAAACGTCTTCCGCATCAAGACGGAAACGTTTCAAAAGATGATCCTTTCGTTTGCGGAGGTTGTGTCTCCGTACCTCTATGAGAAGTACGTGGTGTCCGCGACCGGCAAATTCACGATGGAGGCGCTCGTGCGAGGAGGCAACACGTTCCGTAACTACCTAAGCGCTCGCTACGCCACGGATGTTACTTTCCAGCAGAGCAACATGCCGACCGGCCAAATGAAAGAACGGCGTGCGTACTACAGTGCCAAACATCATCTTCATGGCTACAAAGTCGAGGTGTCTGTGCTTCCTAATGGCCTTGCACTCAACTGCACGGCGCATTAACCTGGCAGTGAAGCGGATATCCAAATTTTACGCAACAACCACGAGTTTCACCTCTAACATCTTCTTAAGAGCTCGATGGAGACTGAGCTAGCAGATGAAGGGCCTCTAAGGACTGAGCATCCCGACTCGTGGGCTGTTCTAGCTGATAGGGGGTACCAAGGACTTGCCGACTTTTGCGTCATCACGCCGTTCAAGAAGCAGCCGCTGCGGGAATTGACCCTGGAGCAGGTGGAGACTAATGATCGCATTGTCCACGACCGCGTCCTCGTGGAGAACTATTTCGGTCGGCTCTGCACGCTATGGGCAATGTGCTCAGACAAATACCGGTGGGATGAAGGCATCTACGACATGTTTTTTCGTGCGTGCGTAGCTCTCACTAATTTTCATGTGCGAATTCTTCCACTACGCAGTGAAGATGGTACCAACTACCACGACTACTTGAAGCGGCTTCGTGTGATCGTTCACGACGCTAATACCAAGAAACTTGTAGTGCAAAGGCGTTACCGCGAAAGGAGACGCATGCGTCTTCGACGCATGCTTGTCGCTCATGTGGATCGCCCTGGAAGTCGATCTGCTCGTCAGCGCGAGAGTGATGAAGAAAGCGAGGATTTTTTCGACCACGAAAGTATCGCTTGTGCTTGAGATTGAGATTTGGTAGTCGCTTCGCCGGCCTGGCAGTTTGTAGTTGGTATGCTGATGTTCCACAATATGACATGGTCATTGATCCAAAGCAGATAATATCAACAAGACCTCTGCGTATTTGCCGTTATTGTTTGTCTTTTCGAAAATTGTCGTAACAATGGTAGAAAAAGCGGAATTTCATGAAATGGCGAAACTTCAGCTGAATATGTAAAAATTGGTTTTGATTTTAAAGCAACCGGTCCATTAACCTGGGTACAGTACCGGTACTGTACATGAATGTTTTTTTATAACAAATACATGTATTAATATTAGCTATACTTTTTAAATTTAGGCGGAATAGGAGCCTGTGATGCTACTTCGGTCGTCGCGTGTGGGTATCAATTGCCGCTATCTTAGCGTGCTGAGTGGCATCTCGGAAGATTTACTTGTGAGTACGAGCATCGGCCACCAAATCGGAGGCGACTCGCATGCTGCACTGGTGGATAGTTTAGTCCAGACGAATGTGGTGGCTGCTGGTTCACGACTGGAGGCAGCGCTGCGGCGTGTGGACCGCGCAGACTTTGTAGCGCCTGCGTTTCAGAGCTCAAGCGAGAGATATGCGAATCGTCCATTAAAAATCGGTACGGTGGCAACGATCTCCACTCCCCAGCAACACGCACAGGTCCTCGGACTGCTGGAGCCCCACCTCCAACCAGGAATGACAGCGATGGATATCGGCTGTGGGTCAGGCATTCTCGTGGCCACAATGGCTCAACTGGTGGGGCCTATGGGATTCGTTACGGGCGTCGATATTGTCCCTGAATTGGTAGAGTTCTCAAAAGAAAACTTGCAGCGGAGTTTGGGGAAGGACGCAGCGGACAAACAAACGAAGATTATTGTGAGTTCTGGAAAGAAAGACCTTGGCTTGCCATCCGACGTTCGCTATGACTGTATCCATGTTGGCGTTGCAGTGGAAACCAAAGCAGAAGCGGAAAGCTTCTTGAATTACCTCAAACCCGGCGGTGGGCTGTTGATCCCCCTCGGTGGTGCTGGAACAGAGCAAAAGCTCGTCAAGGTAAGAAGTGCACTTGCTACAGAGGGACAAAGCTGTAATCTGACAGAACTTATCGTTTGCTTGCTGGCAGATGACTAAACAAGCCGATGGGACGGTGGACAAGCGCGATATCATGAGTGTGCTTTGCCAACCGATGCTGGACAGTATCCCCGTCGAGGATATCCAGGAAACTCGAGCGGAGAATCTGGCGCGCGTGGAGAACGCTCTAACACTGTGGCGTGAAGATTTTGAGACCAAAAATGGACGGAAGCCTACGCGAGACGATCTCATGGGCAACGAGGAATCGAAAAAGCTTTTTCAAGAGTTTGCGTCACTGAGAAAGTAAACAACACTGAGTGAACATGTCGATTTCAGTTGTCGAGCTACATTTTGATGGTACGCTCGTTGTTTTTTTTTTCACATGTAGACGGCATCATCGCGTCACGCATGCGCCGCTGACTTTGTTTTTTGCAGGAGCTGCTCCGCCAGTTCAATTTGGTGAGTAATGTGCTCGCGCTGCGTCATTCTCGCGTAGCGAGGTGGGTTCTCTGGTGTCACAAAAGCTGGAAGTGGTTCTACTACAGTGTCACCATTTGCGCCATTAAAACGCACAATGGACTGACGCTTCTTCTCTGAGTTGCACACACGATGCTGCGTCACAAAACACGTTGAGTATTTACGTCTGCTCCTCACGCTTTGAAGACTGCAGCTTACCTCAGTTGCGGCTAGAACCCCGTTCGTCCAGTGCTCGAGTATATCGCCAACCATGACGAAAAGCCTATCAGGCAAAAGCCAAAGGGTGTCACACGATTGATCCCCATCCGAAATAACACTTGAGTAGTACCTGTCATCACATACTGGGGCTTCAACCCAGTAACCTTTGCGATTCATCAAGTGCAGACCTTCGCCATTCTGATGAATGATAGTAAAGCATTCGAAATCCGTATGCGAGGCAATTCCGACAGTAGAATTCTTCGTTCGGGCATCCGTCTCAGGGTATGTTAGTAGTCGCATGAATGCCTCCGCTTCTTCATCCACATGTTGCTTCAAATCCCCGAACAGTAAACAAGTCAGTACAACGTTATCCACAACTGCAAGCGCGAAAGCCTCGTACAGTACCAGAAACGTATTCATCGGTAGTCCAAGCATGTCAGCAAAGCTCTTGAACAGCACCGTCGAGAGCTTGGTGGTCTCTATATACAGTGCGTAAACGTCTTCACGGAAGCGCGGTACTTCAACTGGCCAGACATTTGGCCCCAAACTCGACCCCTCTTTCACGTATGTCTCCGGGAGTTCGCGCGCTAGGTCGAAGCCTTCCAAGTGTGAAACCACATCCGGTTGGTACTGTGCACAGCAGTTACCTTAATAAGACTCTAGCAAACTCGTACGTATATATTTTTGTATACCGATGGCTCCTCGAACATTGGTGTCCAGCCTCGAGCGTTGGGTGAGCGTTTGCAGTGGTATTGCTGCTTGACCTCATCGGGAAGCGCGATAAACTCGTCCGCTCGACTGTATGCTGCCTTGATCAGCTGACTAGACAGCACTCCTTCCGTAGGCACTGTGAAGAATCCCGTTTTGATGCACGCAGAGCGCATGTCGTCCAGAATCTGCTGCTTAATCACGGGGGCCACTTCATGTCCGTTGTTCGCCGCCGTCACGGAGAAACGTCTACAAGCGGCAGCTGCTGAAGCGCCACCTTGGAAGCCGTCATTACGCGCGGCGATGAGAAGCTTCGGGCGCCTCGCGCCACGCGAGACGTTGAACAGAGACTTGCGCCCCACATCGAACTGACCGATTAGGATCAACAATGCTCAGAAGCTTCAACATGGTGTTGGGTACGTAAGAAACCTTCATTATATTATAAATGCACCTCACGATGGGCATCGCTAGTCTAAAACGTTAGTATTCGATCGAGCATGTCGTACCTGGCGGCATCGACTCATTTCAACAACTGGGTCTTCTCGACAGAGGAGCTAGCGCGTGTACGGCGTCTGCAGCATGTGAAGACCAAGCGCGCGCTCCGACTGGAGCGCGAGGAGTCTCAGAAGCCCGAAGCTTCGGCTAACAACGGTCGCAAAGCGCGGTCTTTCGCTGCGCTAGTGCCAAGCTCGTCGACTGCTATGCGCGACACTTTTGACTGGAATGATGAAGTAGACGTGGATCTATCGGGGCTGGAGGAAGCGGAGGAGAAGGCCAATCTCCAGTTAACACCTCTGCTGGAGTTTCTGAACCCAGAACAAGAGGCGTTGTTACGAGCCTTCTACGAGGAAAAGATCCAGGAGAGCTGCAGCGCTCAGTTCCTTCGCACATCAGACAAGGTCAAGTGCTGCGCCGTCTTGCTATTCAAGAGGTTTTATCTAAGCAATAGTGTCATGGAGTTCCACCCCAAGTTTATTGTCCCGACCGCTATCTACGTAGCTGGCAAGGTCGAGGAGCAGTACATGTCGGTGGATACAGTGGCTGACCAGCTTCATGTGGACCACAAGTTCATTATTGGTCACGAAATGGTCTTGCTGGAGGGTGTGCGCTTTCAACTCATCATGTATCACCCATTCCGCGCGCTATTGGGCTTTCTAGATGACTTCCGAGCCTTTGCCAAGCAAGTACTGAAAAAGGATCTGCCCGCGACGGTTCTGCAAAAGCTGCACGCTATTTCGACCGCAATGGTGAACGATATGCTTCTCACAGACTTACCACTGCTTCATTACCCGTCGTATTTGGCACTTGCAGCACTGTGGCATGTGACCGACGATGTTGCAGCCAGTAGCGGTGAAAAGGCTTGCGGACTTGCGAGCGCCGATGTACTGAGCTACATCAAGCGCAGCAAGTTCTCTAAGGACCAGCCTGTGGACGAAGTATCCGGTCGGCTGCAGCAGATTACACAGGCGTTCCAAGCGTTGAAAGCTGAAAAGCAAAAGGGCGGCGAGGAGGCGACGCAACGTCATGCCAAGCAGATAAAGCAGATCTACAAGAAGCTCAAACAATTCCACAAAGACGACGAGAAGAAAGAGAAGAAGAAGGATAAGAGCAGCAAAAAGAAGGATAAAAAGCGTAAGGACGGATCGAAGGGAGACAAGAAGAAAGTTAAAAAACAGAAGAAGGATAAGGCGTAAGCGCCAATGCTAATGGTCGCAGAAGGAGCACTGCAGCGCTATATCATCGTACATAGGATTGCCCTTGGTAATACTGCTATTCATCTACCTCCTCTTCCTCCTCATCGTCGTCCTCTTCACCGTCGTCGTCGTCACTACCCTCTTCTTGCTGCTCCGCTGCAAGCTTCTCACCTGAAATGACATACACATGAGTTTTTCTGTAACACAGCTTAAATAATATGTTATCGCATACCAAACGTACGCAGAATCTCAACGATGGCGTGCTGCGTGCGCCGCTCCAGTTTGCGCAGCATTGGGGCGATATCACGCTCCATGTCCCAATTGGCTCGCTTTGGCGCGAGATTTAGCAGCTCGTCGTCGCTCTCGTCTTCCGTTTTAGCATCATCTTCTTGCAATTGACCCACTTTCCCCACCAGGTCGTCCGCATTGTCGTCGGTCTTAACTGAGGTGGTCATCTCGGCGTCCTCCTCCTGCTGCGGCGCATCCTTCCGTTCCATCGGTTCGTCAGACGCAGTTTGTATTGCTGCAGCGGCAGGTGCATATGCTTCTCCATTGCTGCTCTCGCCGCGATCTTTGCGGGCCTTGGCCTCACGCAGCATCTTCAGCCGCTTGGCGCGGGGCATCGCGTCGTCGGCATCAGTGCCTGCCATCTTGGTTCGTGTTTTGTGTACCAAACACCAAGAGCAAATAGGTTTTTCACGTGTCGAAATATTGTTGAAGATGAGCAATCCAGCATAATAATATGTCATGTGTCGGCTATTGGATTCCAGTGTCTTGGAATGCGAAGTGTATCGGTAGTCGCGCTGGGCAGTCGAAATTTGCGGAGATGACGACGCAGCGGTATACCACATTTTGAAACTAAAGAATCACTACTTTATGTGAAGACTACACCACAGAACCCGCAGGCTGTTAAAGGTCAAAATGGCATTAGTCCTACATCTCACTGTAAATAAAGAAGAGCTGACGCGAAGAACCAAAGCACCGAGCCGACTCGCCACCGGCCTCTTTCCTCCCTGGCCTCGCCAGTCTTCAACCTCAGGAAACTGGACGGGACAATCGCTCGACTCCACCACTCGATGACTCTTGACCTTCCCTTGTCACGACTCGCCGCGTACTTGCACGCAGCCGCCAAGCCAATTATGCACCATATGAAAATTGCAGAGTCTCCTCTGCTGCCGTCGGCCGAAGTCCCTCTCGCAAAAAGAGTAAACCCCGCGGTTCGAGGCTTCGACCGACTGAACCGGGCCTCTGGGCCACCAACCAATCGTCAGCATGTTTCACCAAATAGTCGTCAGCCTTTCACGCCATCTTTAAGGTGAAGTCGCGCAGCACGTTTGCATTGATCCCAAAGAGCCAAGTTGCAACAAAAGATTCCAACGCCACTAGACCCGCCAGCTTCCGCCTTCCACTTCCTCATCTCCTCCAGTTCCCTCTCCTTCCACGCCCTCCTTTTCACCCCGTCTTTCCATGTCATCGTTCCACCATCACCGTCGTCAACTCCTTGTCATTCACTTCGGTAAGAGCGGAGCGACTTTCACTCGGTCGACCCTCAGTTAGTTGGTCCCCTCCGCCTGGCGCAAGTGTGCAGAGCACAGACCTTTGCGTCGGCATGGCTTATTGCAAGCGTCCACGGTGCAGCGCTTGCCTCCACCGTGTGTGGCGCACAGGCCTCCGCCGCGGTCATTGCGCATGCAGCCTGGCACCTCGCACAGGCGTGAACCGCCGTGGAGCGCGCAGTAATCGCCGCGCTGCGTTCCCTTGTCACATCCATCGAACATGCAGCGCTTGCCACCGCCGTGCGAGCGGCAGAAACCTCCGCCCTGAGAGCTGCGCGAGCAGCCACCGAGCTGGCAACGCGGGCCGCCACCGTGAGCCTTGCACAGGAAGTTCGACTGAGCAGCCTTGTCGCAACCATCGTGACTGCAGCGCTTGCCGCCGCCGTGACGGATGCAAAGGTTGCCGCCCTGCGAGCTCTTGTCGCAGCCCTCAACGGCGCAGCGACGACCGCCACCATGCGAGATGCACAAGCCGTTCGAGCGCGAGCGCTTGTAGCATCCCTCGCTCTTACAGAGACGGCGGCTCTTCACCTCGCCAGGCTTGGTCATGATCTTTGGAGTCATCAGCGGATCCGAGCGACGCGGAGTCAGCATAAGCTCCGTGTCCGTAAAGTCGGACTCGAGAGACTCCATAAGTCCCTCGATGGGGGAGCCCGTCAGCACATTCAGGTTCAAGATGCCGTCATCAATCTCCACGGTCTTCTTGGACTTGTCCTCGGGAGCATCAACCAAAAAGCTGTACAGAATCGACATTTCCGTACCGTCAAAGCCGTCGTCCAAATTCACGAGGTCCGGCTTGTCCTTTCCGATGCTTTCCAGCTCGCCAGGCATCGAGAAATCGAGCAACTCCTCCAGTTCCTGAGCCTCAAAGTCGGGCTGCGGGATGGTATCCTCGGGCTTGACCACTGCAGGGACGGGGACGGCTGCGAACTCGCTGGGCAGACCCATACTCAAAAGATCAGCCGTCGGGGCGGTACTCCACGGCATGGTTGGCAGGCTGTTGTTTTTCGGAAAGGACACGAAAGGCAGCGCCGGGGGTGGCGCAGCCATACTCAGCATGTTCATTCCGTCCGCACCGAAGCCCATTTCTCCAGCAGCAGACCAGGCGGGCGCGCGACCCGCAGTCTTAGCGTTCTGGCTCAGCATAGCCTTGTTAGCGCCTGCGGCGGGTTGGTAACCCGCGAACAACGCGACAGCAGCCGGGCCCATGGCGCCCAGCGAATCGCGTGACTCTATTGGCCGGCACATTTTCGAGCTACTTGAGCGTCAATAGTTTCCTGTTTTTCTCGTTTAGCTTTCTCTCTTCTTCGCACTTCTCTCGTTTCGAGCACTTTGCGTTCTACTGGCCAAAGGCCCGCTGTGGTTTTCATCCATGCTTGCCGCGTAAAAAGGGATAGGTTTAACCTTTATAAGCGAATCCCAGGACGTACTGATCAAGCCAGTGAGGTGCGTAAGGGCTCGGGGAATATCTGACCACCGATTTGACTTGCTTTCAGTAAGTTGTCTGAGAACACAAAGAAACCGCACACCCCAAGGGCAATGATTAGTGAGAATCTATGGTGGCGACGGCAAATGTGCCAAAAAATACAAGGATTTGATAATTCCAGCGGCAACCGAGCATGCAACCCTCCGCTTCAACTGGTTTAACTGTGTCTACATAGAAGATTAATGTATCAATTTAGGTCACTAACTTGGTGGCTATGAATAGTTTGCAGTGCTAAATTAACAGTGCCCGTCCTTCAACGCCTTGTCGCGGAGCCCTTTGCTCTATACAAGCACTAAGCTGCCAATTATTGTATGTAGTAGAAAGCGGCGTGATCATCTTGCCCGACGCTGGCGTGCGTTGTCCTATACAGCGAGAAAGCCGGCGTGCATGTGCGTTGTATTCCGGGACGTAAAATTTTCATGAGGCCAGTGTTTAATAACTCGGGCATTAGTATTCCCTTGCCACCCACGAAGCAGAACCCCCGCATTTAACAAGTGCCAGTGTCAACCAGATAGGCATGCATGCCGACGAAGTGCAAGCAGGCACCGCAAGCGGCAGTCTTATGAGCTAGTCGTTTCTTGCGAACGACGAGAGAGATGCACGTTTCAAGCTCACTACTTAAGATTCTTCAGTGAACTTGATGAACAAGTGAGTCGTAACCGGATATGGGGTCTTGACGTGGCATTTGCCAATGGTGCGTAATGTCGAAAGCACCAACGGAACGAGTGCTGTTGCTACTGACCTGCAGAGCCAAATATTTTCAAAGCTGAAATGCTCGAAATATTTTGCTGAGGACAAAAATATCAATTTGCGACTCGCAAATTCGCAAATTGCGAGATGTATTGACATGTAGGGTATGTATTTGAATGAAAAAGGGTTTTGCCAGAAAAACCTGGCACAGAACAAGGATTTTATGTATAATTTATACATGTACCACTACATGTACTGCGCCGTTTCATCACATAAACGGGCGATTCAAAATTACAAAAAACACAACATTACATGTACATGCACATAAATACATGTACTGTACACTGTTCAAATAAGCATGTAATTCAAATATTCAGTACTGTACTTACATGAGCTTGCTACACTGTAGCCTACAGGCTGTAGTACAGCAGTGTCATATTACGCTGCTGCGACAACGAACTGTCTGCCTCCACAAAGACACGCAGCCGATGACTGGACCGCACAGCAGTGGCGATCCGTCGATGACGCACTTTGACGCCACATCTTCATTGGTGTTTCGTACATATATGCATGTGTGATTGATGTGGTCGAGGCAACATCTGGATCATCTTGAAGCCATCCCGTTGAAAGAATGGAAGCACACGTCGACGTCACTGAGAAGCTACTGCCCAAGATGGAGCCGACTGCACCTCAGCGCCAACGCCAGCGGGTCGGCGAACGTCCGCTCGCAAACTCAAAGCCCAGCACAAGCAGCGGAAGTGTGTCGCTTCGGACCGCTGCCTCTCCTGTGGGTTGCGGTCTAACCGGCCGACTGCGGCTTGCAGCGTGGCTGATCTCCATCTCCTCGTTCATGTGGGGTCTCAGCGCCGCCGTACTGAATGTTTGTATCGTTCCGGACGCGGTGGGCTCCATACTCGTTGATATTAATCTCAGTACGGAGGAGCAGGAGCTCGCCACGGCGCTGGTTGTTGTGGGCTGCGTGCTGGCAGCTCTCACCACGGGCGGCGTCGGTGCGCGCGTGGGACAGAAAAAAACTATACTGGTCAACAATGTGCTCTACATAGCTGGTGGTGCTATCTGTGCGCTAGCCACGTCCAAGCGCGTGCTTTATGCCGGCCGACTGCTCATTGGGCTCGCGTCGGGTGTCGTAACCAACACAGTTCCGATCCTGCTGACGGAGATCTCGCCTGCTATCTCGCGCGGAGAGATCACGTCACTGCATCAACTTAGTCTGACGATAGGCATGCTGGTAACAGCCGTACTGGGCTTTTTCTTTATTTCCAATGTGCCTTCCGGGTGGAGATACCTCAACGGATTCATGATCCTGCCGCCATTGGTGCAGTGTCTGTGCGCGTCACTTGTACCTGAAAGTCCATGGTGGCTTATGAAGAACCAAGGACGTGACGAATGCCGTGCGACGCTGGTATTTCTACGTCCAAGCAACCAGAAAAGTGTCATTGAAACAGAAGTGCAGGAAATCGCTCGCGTGATGGAGCACCGTCAGCACGAACCTCACGTAACCTGGTCGCACCTTCTGGCACACAAGAAAGTCATGGTGACAGGCACTATCCTCGTATTTTTCCAGGCGATGACAGGTATCAACACTGTGATGCTCTACTCCGCCAAGATTTTCCACTTTGCAGGAGTGACGAACCCATTTTTCGCCACGGCTGTTGTGGGTTTCACCAACGTGGGCGTCACGATAATATCCGTGCGCTTTGTGGACTCATATGGACGCCGCCCGCTACTTATCGTGGGTACTTCTATCATGATTATCGCACTCGGAGTTTTGAGCTGGTCGCTGCTCTACCTCAACAGTAATCTTGCAGTCCAGGGTACGGTAGCTGTTATTTCAGTGCTCATGTTTGTTGGAGGATTTGCCGTTGGTCTCGGGGCTGTCGTGTGGTACGTCTCCATAGCGTTCTTATTGTCGAATATGGTGGGAATAAACCATTTATTTCATCTGTTGCTGGTTGATATACAGGGTCATGCTGGGAGATATTACGCCAGTGCATATCCGCTCGCGAGCGTTCGCTTTCTATATGGTCGTGAGCTATATCTGCAACATCGTAATCGCTGTGTACACGCTGTCTGCTATCAGCTTCTTGGGTCGCGGTTCCAATCCCGAGAAAAACGGTATCGCCAAGCTCTATCTAATTCTCTGGTGAGTCACGACTGGTAAATAATCTGCGTGCTTAATGCTGACTTGTATGCTGTTGTCGATGTGTGTTGTAGTGGTGTTGCTGTTGTGTGCCTTGCGTACATCTACGCTTCAGTAGAAGAGACTTCGCATGTCAAAACGGCACCTGCGAAGGTCGCTGATGATCAGAAATCGCTTTTGGCGGAGGAGGGACTAGAAACATTAGACGAGGACTTTGGCATCCCACGTCATACGACTGATCTTTAGGTGTGAGAACGAACTCCCATCAAACATGGCAACAATTGCATTAAGAAGCATCTGCATCTTGCCGCCGTAGTGTATTGCCACTCCGACGTCATGATCTACTGCTTAAGAAGGTGAGCAGCTTCAGCGATCTCCCGCACAGCTTTAGCGACGGAGATAAGGCGTTCACTGTGGTCGTTGGGTGAGAGCGACTCGGTAAGAACATTCATTTTCTACATCACATGCAAAGAATACAGCGCAAACGTTAATACATCAATAGTTATCGAGGAAGAGTGTGATCTGCCGCCGTGAGTTTGCTTTCATCGGACATGCAGAAATTAGACCGGCAAAGGTACATGTGATCGAGCCTCAAAACTCGCGCAATACGACCCAGATTAGAAAAAATGCGGATGCTCCACCTGATAAAGCGCAGCGAGGGTCTGGCGGCGAATGGCGTTCACTTCTGCATCGCTTTCGGGGCTAGTGCCCACCGCACTGTCGATCTTGCGCTTAGCTGCATCAAAACAAGATGTGTACGAGCAAAAGCATGTTAACGCGATCTGCATTTCGTCGGATCAATCACAACAGCATTGCAGCCACAATATACCAGCTCCATTTGCTGCAGGCGCCCGCTGCGTCTTCCCTTGCTCTAGTTCCTGCATCTCTCTGGCCTTCTTGGCTTGCTCCTGCAAGCGGAATTGCTGCTCGATGTGGCGAGCGCGCTCCTCCTCATATCGAGCTTCAGCCTCGGCATCTTCCTTCTCGGCCTCAGCAAGTTCCTCAGCCTCCTGTGCCGCCTGCTTCTTGGCTTCCTCCTCGGTGACTACAAACTGGTCGCACCGCACACAGAACATCTACACCGCCATTAAATATCATCGTTAGCTCATGACAACATGCAGATACTGCGCATTATACTCACCTTTCCCTGCTTATTACGCATTAGTGGCGTGTAGCAGTTGTCTACGGGACAGCTAGCACCCAGCATCGTCCAGCCCTGCACTCCGTACGGTCATCACACAGCGTACAGAGGATTTGGTGTCAGTCTTGGCCCCTCAATTGCAATCAAATAGCACTGACCTGCAGCATTTTCTCGCCCAACAATTTGCTGGCTTCATCACGCGAGCGCTTCACGGGTGTAGTCGGCTGCACATAGTACCGGTATTACATTGATTAACAGGCAGCCTTCGCTGAGAGACTTGAGCAAGACCTACGGCATCCATTGCAATTACAGTTGTGGCTTCATTTCGATCCTGTCGAAATTTATACTGTTTTTGGCGGGAATACGTTTCCCGCTAAAAACTACGTACAATTTCAAAGATCAAACTATGGCAGAAGACGCCTCGACCACCGTGCGCGTGTGTTTGACACGCTGCCCGCTGCCGCCAGCGGAGGAAAACGTGCACTCACTGCCTTGCCGTATACACTTTGACGGGTCGGCGCCCGTCAAAACCTTCTTCCGGCCGCAGAGCAGCGCCGGTGACAGTAGCAGGACAGCGGACACAATTGAGCAGGACATACAGATGGAGACAGAGCAGAAGGATGGCAAAGACGACAGCAACGACACGCTGCAGGCGGCATTTCGCGGTATTCAATTGCAGGGAGAGAAGCTCCAGTTGGCTCCCCTGGGCTTCACCGGTGCGTTACAAGCGAGTATGAAGTAGCGCAGACTGAGCGCATCGTATTCACGGTGTGGTTGCGCAGGACTCGTTTTAAAAGACAGTGGCATGCGACACCCGGATGACGAAGGTCGCGTTTGGGAAGTCGAAGATCATTTCGACGAGCTTACGTGGTGGTACGTTGGGGTATTATTTCATTCTACAAACATGTAGCGTCGGGGGTTGAAAATTAAGGTCGTTTTGCTGTTCAGGGACGTCACCAATCACACAACAAGCGAGACTCAGCAGCTACCGCTTGTGCTAAACCAATGGCACGATATTGCCTCCGCGGTATGTTGTGCCAACCCGTGATTCCTCTTCAACGTTTCTGGAATTACGCTTGTGTCACAGTGAACACTCGGCGCTGTTCGATCAGGGCACTGTTGATTTGTAGCTCGGACCTCCATGCGGTAGCTATCGGACCTAAATCCTCTAACTTTCTGCGTTTGCTTGCGTAGATTCACGACGCGTAATTGAAGGCAACGAGAGTGAGCACTACGGACATTCCATTCGTCACATTATCGCCACCAACCGCAGCAACTTCATTTAAATTTGGTCTTTTTTCGTGCAAAGAAACAATTTCGGTGACAGTAGTCAACTTCTTTTATGTCTCTTATCGACGCTGCCAGTGTCAGAATGCCATTCGAAATTCAGATCGCTCCTTGACGCGGCATGGTGGCACGGAGGACACCGCCATGCGACGAGTGGGTGGCTCACTCGCACAAGCTCGCAACGAGGAACAAGATGCTGCAGCTGACAATGGCAGCGCTACGAGCGCGGCTGGGGGACGCTGTGGCTAAGCTTGTGCTGGTGCCCGTAGTGGTGAGTCTCTGCGGGGCCATGACGCTCATTCTCGGACTGCAATGGGTGGAGGCGTTACAGCGCCAACGACAAGTGATCGAATGGCGCACGCGGCTGTGGACGATGTTGTTGGCACTACTCCAGGCAATGCTGCCGGCCAAGCGACTTGAAGCATCCGTGGCGCCGCACTGTATGCCGGCCGTGGTAGATGAGACCCTGGAAAAGACCACGAGCAAGCTGCTCAATAGTGGAGACAAGAACGACGCTGGCGACGGAGATGCAGATGGGGAGGGTGGCGAGGGCTATTCCTCGCGTCCTTTGAAGAGACAGAGGTCGGATCCTAAAGGGAGAGACGTGGCTGAGCAGAAAAACGGTCAGGACGGCGACAACGACGAACGAGGACGACCTGGAGACGAAGAGAATAAAGATGACGGTGATGAGGAGACACTGAGCGATACATCAAGGACCAGAAGTCCCACTAAACGTGCTCGAAGACGCGTGCTTATCTGGGATTTGGATGAGACTCTGGTGCTGTTCGCCTCGCTGTACACAGGCACATTCGCCCAGACGCACGGCAAGGAAGTGGCGCCTGGAGTGGCTCTTGGTGAGCAGATGATGACTTTTCTACTGGCGATGTTGGAGAAGCATTTCTTCTTCAGTGATCTTCACGATACAGACGTGGACCACATCGCACATGTTGCTACTGACAGCGAAGCTTCTGTCTCGAGGACACGTAGCGTGTCTGATCAACAGCAACTAACTGTACACGAGAGGTATGAACGTATCCGGGAGATCTACGAACGTCGCGGACACGTGGACTTTTTGCATGATACAAACAGTGAATGGTTCGCCATCCATGGCGCGTTAGTAGCGGCTATTGACAATTTTTCGACGGGTTGGCTGCATGAAGCTCGGCAAGTTTTGGAGCTTACTGCAGAGTCCGTTAACTCCCGAACGGGGCCCACACTGCCTACTGACAGCAAAACCGAGGAAGCAGAGGTGGAAAATGTCAACGTGCTGGTCACAAATACGCAACTGGTGCCAGCATTGTGCAAGTGCCTCATTTACCAACTGGACGCATTCTTCCCGATCGATCGTGTGTATTCTTCAGCAAAGGTGCGCAAGTATAGGTGTTTTGAAGCGATCATGAAGAAATATGATGCTCCAGACGCTGAATTTGTAGCCATTGGTGACGGACTGGAGGAGGAGCAGGTAAGCCTTGCACTCGGGCTCGAGTTCCACAAGATTCGGTCACTTGTGGACCTCAAACGACTGCGCTACGACTTGCAATTGGTGAAAGCTAACAGTAGCAGCTCGAACTCGGCGGTTGTTGACACGCCTGCTGTTGCTGCGGCTCAAATGCCAGTTGCCTCGTCGCCAGTCGGCCAAACTGCTGTAGTCTAAGTGATTTTAGATTTGAATCAAGTAATAAGCATTATTTATTCATCAAGAGTTTGTTGAAGAGAGCCTCATTGGAGTCTTCCGCTATCGACAATGGTGCAGGGCACACAAGGTCGTTCCTGACGAGTTTCTAGACTTCCGATAGTCATCACAGTCCGCCAACCACTTACCACTCGACCGAATGCCACTGCCGAACGTCAACACGAACAAACCAAGCGTTAGTCAACATATACTTCAGTATTGATACAGAGCTCATATTGCAGTACCTTTACGACGATCAAGCCAAGGTTGCGGCGCGAGAGTGATGAAGAACTGCGAGCCGTTTGTATGTGGACCAATATTCGCCATGGACTGTAGACGGAACAAAAGAATTGTGCCTGTGAAATGACAGAACAAGCAGATAGAGAGAGAAGAAGTAACCTACTGACTTACCAGAATGCCTGCAGCATTGTGAGAAACAGCAAAGCTCTCGTCTGGAAACTCCAGACCGTAAAGAGATCGACAAGGTCCGTCTCCTCGGCCATTACCAGCGATATCACCAGCTTGTATCCAGCCACCTCGCACTACACGGTGAACTGGGTTGCCCTGATAGCCCAATTGTTGATTTTCATCCGTTAGATCAGGGACCTTGTGCTCACACAGTGCCAAGAAATTCTTGCAAGTTTTAGGACAAACACCGTGAAATAGCTCCAGCTCAACGCGAGGCAGTGCCACACCATCTACCTCGAACACCAAGAAAGCATACAAGTGTCCTGATAGCTCGCGATAGCGTGTCAGAGTCTGCTGGGCTGCTTCTTCCGCCTTCGTCTCCAGCGTTTCTTCTGCTAGTGCCAGTTTCTCGCCATAGTCTTTTCTGGAGTTATCATTGCCTTCATCTTCGCTACCGACAGCCAGTACTTCTCCAAATGCAGCAGCAGCTAGCAGTTCGTTTCTTGATAACTGCGTCCGCTCCATGGCAAAGTCAAGCAGCTCGTCTTCTCCGTCCAACATGTCATTTGAGGAATCCAACAGCAGAATAATCGGCCGAGTTGCTCGCTGCAACTCCGCACGCTTACTCTTGGGGATTTTGTCTTGCTGGTTTTGCAAGTACTCGAGATATTCGACTTCCATCATCCCATCCAGTGGCGACACGAAGATCGGGTGGAGCTTGCGCAGTTCTTGAAGTAATAATTTACAACGCTGGTAGGCCACATCTCCCATAAGGCCCACCAACTCGCAGCACTCCATACCCGCTGACGCCATCTCTAACACGCCACGCTACAAGAACGGCGAAAAAATTGCGGTTTTTACGTGCAGCTAACCCCCTAAATAACCAGATCAAATAAAGAACACGACTGCAATGGCATCAATACCAAGCAAGATTCAACCCACCGCCATGTTTATTTTCCCTTTTTCATGTATCTGCTCGACTCTTGACAAGAGCAGGATAACTCGGAAATGTGCATCAGCTAGCAAATTTAAACCTTGCTGTAGTCCATCTTGGATTCGAGTTTCTTGGTCTCGGCCAGTTTCCGCGCCGCCTTCATGAAATCTTCCTCCACGACGTACTCGCGGTCGGCACGGATAGCGAACATACCTGCTTCGGTACACACATTCCGCATATCGGCACCATTGAAGCCGTCTGTGAGCTTGACGATAGATTCGTAGTCGATCTCGCCCTTCTTGGTGATAGGACCCGAGTGGATCTTGAGAATATCCATACGCGAAGCCTCGTTTGGCAGCGGAATCTCAATCTTACGGTCCAAACGACCAGGACGTAGCAGTGCAGGGTCCAGTATATCCGGTCGGTTGGTCGCCATGACCATTTTCACTTGTCCAAGAGCGTCGAAGCCATCCAACTGGTTCAACAGCTCCATCAACGTACGTTGAATCTCTCGATCTGCTGACGTTCCCTCCGAATAACGACTTCCACCAATAGCATCGATTTCATCCATAAAGATGACGCACGGCTGGTGGTCTCGGGCGTATCCGAACATCTCACGGATCACACGGGCACTCTCACCAATGTATTTGTCCACAATGGCACTAGCCACAACCTTCAAGAAGGTGGCGTTGATGTTACAAGCCAGTGCACGAGCCAGAAGAGTTTTTCCCGTACCGGGTGGACCGTACAGTAGCACACCCTTGGGTGGTTTGATACCGACGCGATGGAACAGCTCCGGGTTGGTGAGAGGCAGCTCGATGACCTCGCGGAGCTCACGGATCTGCTCGTTCAGACCGCCAATGCTCGAGAACGACACGTTGCCAGCATCCTCGTTCAGCATGTGATACACTGTCGGATCCACTTCACGTGGCAGGTAGCGCATGATGGTGAGTGTCGTCATGTCCAGCGCCACACGTGTGCCCGACTTGAGCTTGCTCTTGTCCACCTTGGCGCGGCATCCGACGACGTAGCGCGGACCGCTAGAAGCTTTGACGATGAAGCGGTCTTCGTCCAGCTGACGCAACACCTCGCCGATGATTTGACCCACACTCTGCAGAACGAAAATGCCGTGACTTTAGGGAGCTGTAGAGAAGGAATAAAAAGCGTTAATTGTGTACCTGTAGCGCCTTGAGGTCATCCTCTGTCTTATTGAACTCCTTCACAAGCGCTTTGACGTTTTCACGCATGTTCTTCACTCTGAATTGCATGAGAAAGCGACGTATAAAGGTTAGATATGTTCGAGACAAAGCAGAAGATCACAGCAGTATGACGCTGGATCTAGGAGGTTTTAGACGGCAACTTTTATATTAAGAGAAAGCGACGCACCTGCTCTCCATTTCGCGGTGCTCCATGACCTTAGCCTTGTACGCGTTCAGCACCTGCGTGCGCTCATCTTCGGTAGGAACGGATGCCATATTCGCTCTTTCCGACTCTGATGCCCCCTTTTTGGATACGACTCCATTTCATCCAATCATATCGAAGTACACATTCTTGGCTGAAAGGACACTTGCACTGACGGAACGACTCACCCAAATGTAGCCAAGAGGCAGCTGAGCTTTCCGCCGTTCAATATTGCATTCGCCATGGATCAATTCCTGGAGGCTGCAAGCCGTGTGAAGCCATTATCACGCTGTGAGATTGGAACTAGCTCATTGAAGCAGTGCTTGACACTGGTGGACTTGGTGGCGTATGGTGTGGGCTGCTCAGTGGGTGCCGGCGTCTACTCGCTCGTTGGTGTAGGTGCTCAGATTGCTGGACCGAGCATCTCTCTTTCCTTCCTCGTCAGTGGTATTGCCTGCATCTTCACGTCGCTCACGTACTCAGAGTTTGCAGCTCGTGTTCCTGTACGTTGCAAGACTTATTGAAGGGTGTGAGGGAGACACTGAATTGTATGTGAGTGAAGGTCACGGGCTCAGCATATACGTTCGTGTATATCACCTTTGGCGAGTTGGCTGCGTGGCTTATTGGGTGGAATCTAACGCTTGGGTACGGCATCTCGGCAGGTAAATGAGCAAGGATGACTGGCTGTTTGGTGCGAGGGTCTTACGCTGCTATTCTGATACTGTAGCTGGAATTGCACGAAGTTGGGCCTCGTACGCATACTTGTTCCTACAACATTTGGGTCTTCATCTCCCACGTTGGCTCGTGCAAACAGAGTTTCTAGGTATCTCCTGCAGCATCCTGGCCGTATTTCTCATCATATGCTGCACCTTCATCCTTCTTGCCGGGGTTCACGTGAGTATCCAAGCTTTGACGTAGCGGTGATGATGCTAAAACGACCATTGTGTTGTGACAGGAATCCGCCAAGTTCAATGCATTTGTGACGTCGCTGAATATATCAGTGCTGCTCTTTGTGGTTGCGTTTGGAAGCACTGAAGTGGACACTACGCACTGGGAACCTTTCATGCCTGCAGGAGTACACGGCGTTATGACAGGAGCTGGCGTGGTCTTTTTCGCGTACTTGGGTTTTGATATGGTGGCTTGTCTAGCCGAAGAGGTGCACGAGCCCCAGCGCACACTACCCAAAGGAATTATTGGGTCTTTACTGATCTCTATGACCATTTACGTCGGTGTTTCGCTAGTCGTGACCGGAATGGCACCGGTTGACATCCTCGGAACTGAGGTTCCTCTGGTGAATGCGTTTACTTTCCATGGCGCGCCGTGGGCTGGACGTATCGTGTCCTTCGGTTCCATTTTTGGGCTTACGACTGCTGCGTTTACTTGCCTCATGGGCCAACCGCGTATCTTCTACCAGATGGCTAAAGATGGTTTGCTGCCATCAGTATTCGCCAAGCTACACCATCGGACACACGTTCCTGTTGCCAGTACGATATTTACTGGTGCTTTGGTCGCTGTCATTGCGTTCGTATTTGATCTCAGCTTTCTGGCCAACGTAATTTCTTGTGGGACACTACAAGTCTTCACCTTTGTGAATGCTGGCGTACTACTGCTGCGTATGCGTCCGAGTCTCAGTGGAGCGGCTGTCGTTCAGCGTGTGCTACTGTTCGTGGTATCTTGTTTCGCGCTGTCGTTATCTTTCGTTTTCGATCTACCGTGGACGATTCAAGCTGTGTTTGCTGCTTTGGTAGTTGCTTCATTCGTGTTCATTTACCGACTGGGGAAGCTTGAGTACGTAGAGTCGGCTTCGCTTCTTCTTATTTATTTGAAGTACGTATCCTAATCATGTTCTCTTCTTGTATCTGCAGTGCTCTCACCAGTTCATTCCAATGTCCACTGGTACCATTTGTGCCGTGCATGGGGATTCTTGCCAATGTTTACATGGTGGCGAGCATCCCTGGCGAAGGATGGTAAGCTGATTTTGCTCATTTCGAGAGTTTGTCTATGCTCTCGTGCTGACTTGGTATGGGCTGTAGGATCGGTGTGCTCCTCTGGCTAGGCGCGGGTCTAATCGTATACCTGTGTTACGGAATTCGTCACAGTGTGCTGGGTGATTCAAATATCTTACAGCCGCTACTCTGAAGTCACAACCGCTGTGGTAGTCTACCACTGTACCGGTAGAAAGACGTGTGCAAGGCAAAATGTATCCATGTAGCTTTACTTCAACAACATCAGCCAATCACCGCTTAGTTTCATAAAGCTCATGTATCTATTTCCAGGACTCCAGAAATTTATTTCTGAATGGGCCTCATTGATACAGAAGCCCATGAAGACGACACCTCCCTTTGTGGAATGCCTTCTGCCTTTCCGGTTGTCTCGACCCGACGACGAAGGCTCTGACAGCAACCCCGCAGAGAGTGACGATGAGAGTAGCTTCGACCGCACGCTTAGATCTCGTGAAGGTGACGACAAAATGCTGGAGTTGTACCGCCAAGCTGTTCCGCTTGTCCAGCCTCAATCAACTGCAGCAATCAAAACTCTAGGAGCAATCGTACGCGATCGCGAGCTTGTGAAGCGTATGCTGCATCGCCCGCCGCCATATGCCAAGCAACTTGATCGACGTCCACTCGCCCACGAGAGTTCCACTTCAAAATCTGCTTCAGAACTACCAACGTCCGCCCTACCATTATCACCCAATGGCGGGATTGCTAATGCTTCACAGAGCCGTCAGTTGGCATTCATGGCTGCATGCGAGAAACTCATAGTGACTTATGATCCGCAAGTGCGGCATACTCGACGTATCAAGCTAGTGCAGATAAAGCCATTGCTACGTTTTCATGGACTGCAAGTAGATAATGCCGCTTTTCGGCGATGGGAACAACGCTTGCCACCCTCAAACTCACTGGATCCAACATCAACGACTGGACCCACAGTCTCGGTTAGCCAGTTCATCCAAGGATGTCAACTCTGGTTCACTGAGACTTTTCTAATCGAACACGTACGAAATCTCTCAACATGGCAGAAGCAGCAAAGTGTGATGAAAGCAGGAAAAGGGAAGTGCCAAAAACTAATGCCGTTGGAATACGACCATCAGCAGTCTCCAACGCAGGCTACTCAACCGCCGTTTGACCAGCTTGCACATGAAAGTGATGCCACAAGAGCTTTCAGCTACGAGGCATACGCTCGCAACCCTCCGCCACAAGTACCGTCACTTACTTCGTCGGCTTCTGCTCCAGCATTGCTGCATGCCAAATACTGTTCTCACAACAAACCCGATCCTGCAACTTTGACAGCGATAACTAAACTCAAAAACGCTAAGCAACATCAACGTCGAAAGAAAAAAGAGGCTGACGAGATGGCTCGACGAGCGAGACAACAAAGTGCAGAGATTGCACGCGCGTTCAGTGCAAGTGTAGCCATGATCTCTCGTCACGTACATAACGAGGAAGGACGCGATCTCCGCGCGAACGAACTTGACATGCAAATTGCTCGCACCGACCAGACTCGTTACTGGAGTCAACTACATAGAGCTCACTGTCAGGCCGTTGAACAGGAGACAGGGGCGCAACGAGCTCGTGAGGTGTGTGCTATGAAAGCTCTTGCTACAGAAGAATTGCTCTTGTCACGTGACTTCCGGTCACTTCGTGAAGAAGTGGTGCGTCGTAACAAGTCTTTGTTCACGCTATCCTCTTCGACGAGCACAATTATCCCCGCTCCACCTGAAATACGGGCTGCACGAGCCACAGCAAGCACTGACGCAGACCACAAACGATTAGCTCGTGTGGAACGCGAACACGCTGAGCACATGCGCAGTCTACAGTTGCTAGACTACGTGTACGACCGAAAACGGATGATGGCCAACTCACTGCAGCCTCGCGCAAACTCTGCGTTCGTCGAAGTCGACGTAGCCAACACAGAACTCCCGACGGAACGAGTCGTACAGCTTGCTAGTGATGAACTCTGGCAGCGAATCGTACAGCAACAACTACAAGGAGATCCAGAGAGTATCGCGTTGTTAGTTCCACCTAGCAACGCTCCACCTGCTGCTTTGCGATATTTTGGCACCAGTCGACCAGTATCAATGCCAGCGTTCGCTTCAACTCTTGATCGCAACCTTCAATAAAAGTGAAGCAAAAAACGTGTATCTATTTGGCAAGCAAAAACAGGAACAAAGGCCCCTATACCTGGTACCGTGACTCCCAAGTTTCAGCTTGTTTAATGAGTGGCACCCATGCGCATCTTGTACTTCTTCTTGGCAATAGTCTTGGGGTTGAAGTGGCCCTTACGGTGCTGTTTCTTCCACTTCTGACGACCAGCAGTACTCTTACCCACGCCGCTGTTGCCGTAGCTGATACGGTCTTCTACAGTCTGTTTCTTGTCATCAGCATCAGGAGCCACGAACGTGTGCAGCGGGTCATTGTCCGTACGTCTCTTGCCGTCAGCGAGACGCTGTCGCTTGTTGTGTTTGTTCAGTTTCTTCTTGGTGCGTCCTGGTGCCGGCGGCTGCAGCTCGGTAGGCACAAGATAGTCCGGGATTGTCGCCAAATGGGGCTGTACTGGCGCAGAGCCCACCACCTTGTCGTGCTCCAGCATGTTGAGATCACGCGGATTCGCTTGGAAATGTGCCGCCAGACGATCCGAGTTCAGCATCTCCTTCTTGACATCAGCCAATTGAGCCTCACGCACAGCCACACGCGTGACCGCGCGACGAACATCCTCGACACGGTAGCGGAAGCAATCGATTTCCTTGAGATCGAAAGCTAGTTCAGCAGGCTGAGCAATAACATCATTCGTCTCGGAGAGCACAGCCTGCTGCTTGGCCTGCACACGCTTCAGCGCACGCTCCTCCTTGGCATCTTCCTTGGACACGAGAGACAGAGCTGTACCGGAGGCTCCACCACGCGCAGTACGTCCGATGCGGTGTGTGTACGCACGGACACTCTTGGGGAAGTCCACATTAATAACAAACTGCACACCGCGGAAGTCAACACCGCGAGATACACCGTAGCTCTCATCGTCAGCACGTCCACGCTTAGAGCCCACAGCTTTCGTTTCCTGCTCATCGTTGTCACTGTCCTCATTATCAGAAGCTTCTTCCTTGTCGCTATCCATGCTTTCATCGTCCTCCTTCTCACTGTCCTCCTGTTCTTCTTTATCACTGTCCTTCTCTTCGTCCTCCTCAGCGACAGACTCAGCATCCGATTTGTCATCATCCTCTTCTTCTTCCTCTTCACTGGCAGTTTCATTCTCTTCATCGTTCTCTTCTGGCTCCTCTTCCTCAGCTTCGTCTTCGTCCTCGTCGCCAACTTCGTCGCGGTCTACGCTGTCGTCCGTAGCGATGAGGTAGTCGAAGAGACCTCGGTTGAACTCCTCAATAATGTGCTGTCGGGAGTTGTGCGGTAGTTTGGCATTCAGAACTGCGCTCTTGATCACGAATTGCTCAAAGAATAGCTTCAGGCGGTAGGCCGCATCTGTCGAGTTGACGAAGAAGATGACCTTGCCGCTCACGACGCCAAGTCGCAGTAGAGCATACAGCAGCAGGTCCTTGTCCGACGCCTTGACTGGCAAGTAGAACTGTTGGAGTTTTCCGTCTGTTGCTCCCTCCTCGAGCTTGACGACCGCCGGGTTGTGCAGGACGGAGCGCTTCAGCTTCTCCAATTCAGGACTAAGCGTAGCAGACATACAGAACGTCTGACACGCCTTGGGCAGCGCATTGAAAATAGTGCGAATGTCTTCGCCGTATCCGAATGATAGCACTAGATCGGCTTCATCAATGACGACGGTCTGCACAGAGTCCTTGAGTGTGAGGTTGCCAGCTTCCAGATGAGCCACAAGACGACCAGGTGTGGCCACCAGGACGTCAGGCGCGTCACGCAGCAGCGCCTGCTGTGCGTTCATACTCTGGCCGCCTAGTGCCAGCAGACTCACTGTGTCCTGGCAGTAGTACATGAGGTCCATCATGTGGCGGCGGGTCTGCTCCACCAGCTCCTTGGTAGGCACCAGCACCAGTGCGCGTACAGCCGGCTCACTGGCGGGTGTATCCTGCTTGTGCTGAAGAATCTTGTGCAGCAACGGCAATGCGAAAGCCGCCGTCTTACCGGAACCCGTGCGAGCGCGCACCAGCAAGTCCTTGCCCTGCAGTGCCAGCGGGATGCAGTGCACCTGCACCAATGTGGCATGCACAAAGCGCATCTTAGCTACCGCCTTGGTGAGGCGGCGATCCAGACCGAACTCGCATTCCGCGAAGGGCTTCTGTCCGTCCAGCAGCGTCTCGTTCACCTTGGGCTGCGTCATTGCCACTCAACAGCTCGAACAAAGTCAACTGCCGCTTCAAGGCAGGTTGGTTGGTCAGTAGGTAAAATGGTGTTCCTCAACACCAATGAGTAATTCCCTCATAAAGTAATCCTCAAATACTCAAACATCATTTTGGTGGATCAAACACCAAATAGGACAATAGACCATCACTCTGTTTCCGCGCGCGTTTTGAATTGCGATTCAAATCCCAAAGTCGTCGTAGGCAGCTTACCGCCTCCATGACCGAGGACAGCAGCGAGAATCGCCGCATGTCGTCGTCCTCTAACCACGAAGCGCCACCGCCGCCCTTGCCCACGAACGTGCAGGTGGCGGTGCGTTGCCGTCCACTCAATAGCCGCGAGAAGGCGGCTGGACGTGGCGCCGTCCTACAATGTAAACCCAACTCGAACGAGCTCGCTGTGGTCAAGCGCAAGACATACACTTTCGACCGCGTCTTCGGACAGTACTCGACTCAGAAGGACGTATTCACGTCCGTAGTACGCCCCGCGGTGGACGAGGCTCTCGCTGGCTACAACTGCACAGTCTTCGCCTATGGCCAGACGGGCACAGGTAAGACGTACACAATGCAGGGCGACTTGTCTCCGGGCAGCGAGTCGGCTGGCATCATCCCGCGCAGCGTGCACTGCATTTTCGACGCTCTGGAGGCCAGAGGAGAGGAGTTTAGTGTTCGTGTGTCCTTCCTGCAACTCTACAACGAAGAACTCAAGGACTTATTGGACCCAGACACGGACAAGAAGCTGAGACTGATGGAGGACGTCAAAAGAGGCGGGATCTACTGCATGAACTTGCTGGAAATCACCGCCACCACAGCTAAACACGTGTACGAGCTCGTCAATACAGGCGTGAAGAATCGCATCACGTCGGAGACGCTGATGAACGAGAACTCGAGTCGCTCGCATAGTATTTTCACCATTAGGATTCACAGCAAGGAGCACAACGCAGCAGGAGAGGATCTACTTCGCGTAGGGCAGTTAAACCTGGTGGACCTGGCAGGTTCTGAGTGCGTGGGTCGCTCGGGAGCTCGCAATGCCAGAGCGCGCGAGGCTGGAACGATCAACCAGAGTTTATTGACGTTGGGACGTGTCATTACGGCCCTGGTGGACAACCTCCCGCACGTCCCGTATCGCGATAGTAAGCTTACGCGCTTGCTGCAGGAATCCCTTGGAGGACGGGCGAAGACGACGATTATTGCAACGTTAGCTCCATGTGCTGATAGCCTTGATGAGACTCTGAGTACACTGGAGTATGCATTCCGTGCCAAAAACATCAAGAATAAGCCTGAGTTGAACCAAAAGATGACCAAGGCTGGACTGCTGAGTGATTTTGGGAGTGAGATCGAGACGCTTCGCTCTGCTTTGCGCGCTGCAAGACTGAAAGACGGCGTGTATCTTCCGCTGGAACAGCTCACGGATATGCAAGAGCGGTTAGCTGGTCAGGGCGCGCAACTGGGGGAGCTGGAAGAGATGCTCAAGGCGAGAGATTCGTCTTGCAAAGAGCTTGAAGAAGTCGCTGAAAAACATGCGAGCGAGGTGGCAACACTGACACAAGAGAAACAGGAGGTGAGCAACAAATTAGCTGCCACTGAAGGTGAACTTACGTCTGCTAAAGAAACGCTGGAGAAGACAACACAAGAGCTGCAACAAGTCCATGCGGTGCTGAAAGATTTTCAAGATAACGAGAAGACGCTACTTGCAAATGGAGCTGCTGCCGCCAAGCTGTACAGTGAAAGTGACAAGCGCGCCGCTCAGCTTGTGACGAAGATTGGTAAGCAGATTTTTGTCCGCTTCTGATGCTGTGATTACCTAGCTCATGTTTTTCTATTGTTCACTTGATTGTAGAGAACTCCCAGCGCGCAGAGGAAGCGAACACAGCATTGGCAACTTCGTATCGAAGTGACTCGCAGTCGCAGATTAACATGTTCCTGGAGCGGCTGGCAAAACACAAGAAAAATCAAGATGGGATGTTTCAGGATGTGTCGAACGCTCTACGTGAGCTGCAGACAGGTCACTCAACCGACGTGGATGGTTTGGTCACGAGTCTGAATGCACTTCAAGGTCTTGTCGAAGAGCGCAGAGCGCAGACTTCCAAATCATTCGCTGACGATGACAACGAAAGCCGTGCTCAGCGAGAAGAAGTGGTCTTGTCGATGAAAGAACAGCAGGAAATGATGCAGCAACAGCTCGAGAAGTTTGTTGATATGTCGAAGAGCCACGCTACTGCTATCACTGAAGACCTGGCTTCGTCTAAATCACGGACGGTGTCATTCCTGGAGAGCGTACAGTCAACATTGGAGGGTTCTCGCCAAGAGTTGAGTAACTTCCTGACCGAGCAAAGCGACAAGCTGCTAGAACTTCAGGTTGCAATCGACATGTCAATCGAGAAACAATCCAAGAAACTTGACGAAAGCAAGACGGCACTCACAGCTGCGCTGAAGGACAGTCAAGCTCAGCAGCAAGAGGAACTAAACGGCATGAAGGCACATCTAGCTCAGTACATCGACGAGTGTATCCAAAGCCAAGCACAGAAGCTCGACGAGCAGACCTTGATCATTGAAGGAAACGCTAAGAAACAGCACAAACAGCTCTCGTATATTCAGACAATCACGGAGCAAGAAATGAAGGGCTTCGTGCAGGCCATAGGTGGTCAAAACTCAAAACACGAAAGCGAGACGGCTGGGCTTCGCGAGCGTTTGTCTGAGATGCGAGGGCAACTTGGTGAGACTACTGCACGGCAAATGGAGCTCATTCAGTCGCATGAGCAATCGCAGACTGCGTGGAGTAGCGATGCTGCTAGTCTCGCTAGAAAGCACACGGAAGTCATGTCTTCTCTGATGAAAAACCACTCGAAGACTGATGCTGAAGTCTCGAATAAGCGGCAAGAGCAATTGATGCAGTTCTTAGGCGATCATGAAGAGCTCCGACAGCTATTGAATGGCGGGTGCAAGGCGTTGGAGGAAGGACTTCATACAAAAATTGCGAACACGAAGGACAAACTTGAGTCAGCAGCAGAACTTGGAAAGGAAATTGTTGGAGAAGCCACTGAATCATCTACGCAGCAATTACAGGCAATGGAGACGTACATGAAGAAGAGAAAGGTAATTGTCACTGCTTTCTGGATGCCGCATCTAATAATCCTTGTTAATAATTGTTTTTTTTTTCACTGTTTAGATTAATGAACGGACGGGAAAGACCCCAATGAAAAAGGATGACCGGCCATTCCCTTCCTTTGGGGCTACCAAGGTTTCGTCTCAGCAGTTGAGCGTCGTTGAGAATTCATCCATCTATGCCACTGCGTCAACTAGTGAACCGATTTCTGGTCACAAGCGAAGGAGATTGAGCGATGCAAGTACTAGTCCAGATGCCATTGATAATGTCGTCGACGACACCGCCGCTCAAGACCCTATCGATATTCCAGTCAGCATCGAGGCCACTGGAGCTGCCATTGCTTCAAGCAGCCAGGAATCTGTGAACTCGGCATCCACCGAGTCCAGCACAACTGCTAAGGGCGCAGAATCACGAGCTGAGACCAAACCTGCTACTACCGCCAATGCAGTCAACACCACCCCGTCCAAACTCAGGAAGGTAGGGTCTTCCGCGCTACACAAAAAGAAACCGGTGGTCGCCCACCCGCATAGGAGCATGAAGGTGTCAAGTGCAGGACCTCGCAAAACGACAAAAACGTCCGCCCTTGCTGCCCCAAAGCGGTATCGCGCCAAGTCGCCTCTAGGAGAGACCTCCAATTCCCGTTAGTCCGATCTTGTAAACCTAATTGCTCCGTGTCATTTTGTTTGGTGTTCAAGCATGCAACAGTGACGCAAGTTGAAGTGGCTCTTTTTGTGATTGGTAGAAAAAAAACTCATGAGTGTTACGGTGCGATCCTCTCATTTTGTCATTTTGCGATGGCGAGCAAGGAAGCGTGGAAGAAAGCGGACGTGGTCGCCGCGGGCGACGTCTCTGTCAAACTCCCGCAAGGAATGCGACGCTATGTGACGGCGTTCCTGTGTCTTTGTGTTTCTACTATTTGCTACGCCGACCGTACGTGTCTGTAAGAAGGGTGTTATTTGTGAGCGCTGGATCTGATTCTGTTGTTGCAGGCACCAACATGGGCATCGCGTTGCCAGCATTTGTGACCAATAAGAAGGAGCAGGGCGAAGTGCTGTCCGCCTTCTTCTATGGCTATATGTGCACTCAGGTACACCTACACAAGTCATCAAACTCAAAGAATTCGTCTTGATTGACTGTGCTGTTGTAGATCCCTGGAGGGTATTTCGCTGCTAAATTTGGTGCCAAGATTGTGCTTTTGACGGGAGTGATCGTCTGGACACTGTTCGTATGTAGTAACTGGTTAAAACTGAGGTACATGTAGCGTTGAAAGTATATCTGACACTTGCACTGTTGTTGCAGGATTTGTCGACTGTTCTGGTGGCCAAATGCCTCACGTGTCTGTTCTTCACACGGGCAGGTATGGGACTCGGAGAGGGTATTTTATTCCCGTGTATGCACCAAATTGCCGGTGCCTGGTATCCAGTCCAGGAGCGAAGTCGCCTGGTGTCACTAGTAGCAAGTGGCTCGGATCTGGGCACCATCTCCGCATTGATGATCTCACCCGCCATCATGGCAGCTAGTGGCTGGCAACGTATTTTCGTCGTCTTCGGCGTGTTGAGCTTCATTTGGGTCGTCGCGTACGTGATCATGGGAGTGAGTCGACCGGAAGACGACCCTCACATCACCAATGAGGAACGCAACTTCATCATCCGTAACCGTACAGTCGACCCAGAGACTCATCGTCGTCAGAGTTCGCGTGCTGAACTAGACACACACGCAATGAACTGGCGTGTGCTACTAACCTCACGACCGGCGTGGGCGATCTACGTTGCGCACATGTGCTACAACTACAGCTGGTACATTTTGCTGGGCTGGATCCCGCAATACTTCAACCAAGTATTGAACCTCGACTTGGCCAAAAAAGGAGGGTTTGCTGCTGCACTTCCTTACATGTGCGGCTACACCGGCACACTTCTATTCGGCCGACTGGGAGATCTATTGGTCACTCGTGGGTTCCGTGAACTGCACGTCCGCCAGATGATGAACGCGTTCTCTTTCCTCGGATGCGCCTTCTTCCTCTTCTCGCTACGCCTCGCAAAGTCTGCTCCCGTGGCTGTAGCCTTACTGTGTCTAACGCTGTTCACGAGTCGTGCTGCTATGGCTGGATACTGGGTCAACATGATCGATGTGGCGCCCAACCACGCTGCACATGTGATGGGGGTCTCGAATACCTTTGGAACTATCCCCGGTATCATCGGAAATGTGGTCACTGGCGCAATACTCGATGCTTCTGGATCGTGGGACCTCGTGTTCGCCATCGCTGCACTTGTGCTCGTCTTTGGTGCTGTGGTTTTCCATTGTTTCGCCTCGGATAAGTCCATCTACGCGCAGTCTGGCAGCAGTTACGGAGAAGGATACAGCAGTACCAGCACCACATCAAGCAGCTTCCCTGGTAGCCCCAACTATGGCTTGTCGCTTTCTACTTCGATCCCCGAACTTCGAGACGAAGAGGAGAGTCTGCTGGAGAACCCAATGTGAAGAGGAAACAGGTGATACCAGTCGCTAACACTAATGTTCATTTTGTCGCAACCTATACCGTCCCAATGCGAGTTTTTGAAGCTGCTGATGCGAGATCTCTTCGCTAGGAAAGCGCTTTTGCATCTCGACAAACAGATCGGTAGCTGCCACCCAATTCTCACGTTGTTCCTCGGCGGAAATGCGTTGTATGTAGCTTTCTGCGTCGGGGTAGACACGGTAAGCTGTGGCATCTTGCATTGTAGCGAATATTGGTGCCACAAGTTGGTGTTCTCCTGCGTGATTGCACATCTGCATCACGCGATTGAACACTTGAACGCTAGGTGAAACCCCGAACTGCGCTTGCCAATCAGGGAGCATCCGGACAGCACAGCGCCATTCGCCCAGAACCTCCAGCGAGTCCAACAGCTGCGTCACGACAAATTCTGGTGGAATTTGGCCAGTAGCAGTGTGCCATTTGTGGAGAAGTATCGGGGCTTCAACGACGCGGTCTCTGTCTCGCAATGACGTGCATGCTACAAGGTATGCGGTCAAACTTGAGTCACTCACGAGGTCACTTCTCAGGTTAATGGCATCTTTACCCCGCTTGCGATCAACCAGTTTGTCAAATACAGTGACTACACCTTCAAAGTCCTCATTCACGCTGCACACAGCTATCGCACGCTCAAATGTTGTCATATCGGGCTTCACTCGACGTCGCTGCATCTCCTCCAGTAGGTCAAGCACACTAGCACGAGCCCACGCTGCCTTCTCACGCTGCTGGGTCTCATTTTCCTGGGATAGAGTCGCTTGCGTTTGATCCGAGTCGTCACTGTCCAGTTCAGCTTCCTCGTTACTCCTGAGTTCATCATCAAACTCTGCATCACTGTCTTTTCCCTGGTTATTGTTGTTTTTCCGCCACCATGCAGCTCTCTCTCCAGCTCGAACAAAAGCTTCGAGTGCAGTGTTGTAAGAAATGACGTCAGGAGTCACTCCGTCCTTGTGTCGGATTATCCCTAAAACTTCCAGGGCACGTCCAGGGAGCGCGGCTTCCACACACGCCAGCAAAATCCGGTTGTAGATGCTGATCGATACTCTTCCGAGCTGTTCTTCCATCTTGTTTGCCATCTCCCACGCACTGGTTACATTTCCGACACGTGCGTACGCGAAGACCACGGGTTCATAGGTTTCCACTGTAGGTGTGAATGCACCTGACGTCTCGATAGCTCGAAAGAGTTCTAGCGCTCCGTCCGGGTTCTTTGAGTTTGCACACAGCTGCATCGCTCCACTGAGGACCTTCAGCGTGGGTTTGTAGCCGTCGTTGGTCATTAAATGATCCAGGAAGTTCAAGCCCACGTCGAATTGCTGTTGGGCTGCACACGTTGCAAACATCAAGCCGAGAGTCGCGTCATCAGGCTGAAATCCGCGCTCTTTCATAACGTTAAACAGTGCAAACGATTCGTCCACGTCTCCAAGTCGATGATAATAGTCGAATGCATTGTTAAACACTCCAACATCCAGTGATGATAGCGGTGCGTCCCGACAGGTGGTGGTGATAAACTCGGACATCCAAGCCACTAGTTCTCCCTCTTGGCCAATGATAAAGTCTTCATCGTTCTCCTCGACGTCATCATCAATTCCATCATCAGCAAGATTGGTATTGCCCTCGTTAGGAGTCTCTAAATACGTAGCAAACAACCGAAACAGCGAGTAATACGTCGCTGCTCCTGACTCGAGTTTTTGATTCTCAGTGCTCCATTCAAAGAATGAAAGCGCTTGCATCACGGTGTCCACACGCGTCTGGGAGGTCCCACCAACCACGTTCTTCAAGTTTGTGATATGCGCCTTTATCACCGTATTCATGGTGACTTGGTCAGGGTTTAAATCGTTGTCAAGCATCTCGTTCACAATTGCCTCAATCTCTTGAGTATCCCCTCGAACGGCGCACGCATTCAGCAACGCGTTGTAGCTCCACGTCGTCGGCGCACATTCTGGCACAGACTCGGCGTACTTTTTCATCTTCGAAAGGACAGATACAGCTTGGGCCAATTGACCCTGTCTTCCGCAAGCACCTAACACGGCATTGAAGTCATTTGCACTAGCGTTTCCGGTGCGAGTTATTCCATCCAAAAGACGAAGCTTTCCTTCAAGTTTCAGAGACTGCTTTTGGATTGATCGGTCGGTTCTAGACGAAGAAGCACGTAAATGCATTCGTTCTTCAGCGCGTTCGAGGTTTTGCTTCTGACTTTGATTCCGAAAGAAATCTTCCTGGCGTGTCTGTGTCATCCGCGTCCAGTTTTGTTCATCCAGAGCCCAGACTATGGGTGGGGATTTACAGTCGCGGTTGGCAACCAACTTCTCCAGTTGTATCGTATTTTGTGCATCTCTTTCAGTCTCAACAACCAATGCATCTTCTTTATCAATCCTTGCCACAAGACTAAGCACGTACTCCGCTGAGCTCCAATCACCTCGCTGGCGACAAGTATCAACCAGTGAGTTTAACACTTGGCGCGTCACCGGCAGCTTTATCGTTCCCACAGGTGCAAACTCTTTCTCAACATTACGGAGATACTCCACGGCGTTATGCACATCACCTTCACAGAGTAGATAATACACCATCGTCCGAGTCGTGACAGTACTGGGAACCAAGCCAAACTCATCCCGAGCACGTTTCACTAGCTCTAGCATCACCTTTGATCGCCCAACGCCTCGCGAGTACACTCTTAATAAGGAATTAACCACCAAAATCGTCGGTTTCACTCCAGTAGCCAACATCTCGTCGAAGTATTCTTCCGCTGTGCTTACGAGCCCTTGTTTCCTGGCGCAACAGTTGATCGAAAAGCCGTAGATCCTAGCGTCAGGCTCTCGTCCATTCTCTTCCATTTTATTCAATACGTGTCTCGCACTGCGTAAATGTCGGGCTCGACTACACGCTGCCATGGCCACTTCGAAGCTAGTTTGGTCCGCGCACCCATGAGCCACCATTACGTCCAGTAGCGCCAGAATGCGAGTCAAATTCGCATTCATCAGAGTCTTCTGCTGTCTGCAATAGTGACGTAGCAGCAGGTTGTACGTGTACGGCCAAAGCACGGCCCTGTCTGGGTGTCGTTGATGCAGCGTCTCCACGATGGCCCAGGCGCGATTGAGGTCGCCCTGCTCCAAGGATTCCACCACTCGACGATTATAGAACCGTCTTCCTCTTTCGGATGGCAACGACTGCTCCACATCCTTCACGACGGCGCGCAATCTCCAAGACAACTTGGAAGCTTCGGTAAGTCCCAGGAGAGCACGCTGATGATCTCCCTGTTCATCATTTGACGCCAATACTGCGAGCTGACGAGTATGAATACCTTCAGCTGGTAGAGAAGAGACTCTACTACTAGCACGAATTGCACTAGCAAGTGTGGGGCTATGTATCCAGCGCAACATCCCGCGCCGGAACGCCATCACCTTCGCCTCAGCGACCATTCTGCACCTTCAGTCAAATTAACCGGTAAACATCTATTTGATCCAATCGAAGCATAGATAGGTCTGTCAACAAGAGTGATAGTCTTTATTTCGATTTGTCCAATCAAATGTCATCATTGCTTGCATTTTCCGCAGTTTGAACTCGTCCAGCAACATGCTGCGTCGACGCGGAGGCGGCGCCCAGTTCAATCCGTTCGTACTGCCCGTGAAGGGCAAACCAGCATCTGCCCAACCTCAAGACGACGACGAGGACGCATACGAAGAATCTGATGCCGCCAACAACCGTCAGGCGCTACGTAGTGGCGCGTCGCTGTCTGTCAAGCGGCTCCCGTTCCTGTCCTTCGTTGTGATGGAGCCCGAGCGTCGCGCACAGCGCGTGCGACGTCCATTCAAGTCTCCATGCGGAGAAGGTGGCCGCTCACAGGAGAGCAACCGCCTGCTTCAGACCAAGACGCTAGGAATGCGTCGACGCTGGGGCTCTTTAGTACTAAAGCCAATGGTGCGTCATGACATGCCGCCTGTTGAAGTGGACGTCGAGGAGATCGAAACACCCATCGAGCCCGAACCTATAGCCGTAGAAGAACCTGTTCCAGCTACAGCTCCAGTAGCCGATGCGCCACCTCCACTTGTATTATGGCAGAGTAAGACAGACCCCGATATTAAAGTCGTGGTGCCTGAAATCGTGGGCAAATTCCTGCGTCCTCATCAACGAGAAGGCGTACAGTTCATGTTTGACTGTGTGTGTCAAGTAAAGGGCTTTGATGGTCAAGGATGTATCCTGGCTGATGACATGGGTCTCGGAAAGACCCTACAGAGTATCACGTTGATGTATACGTTGCTGCTGACCGGGATGGACATGAAGCCCACCGTAAATCGAGCAATCGTAGTGTGTCCGACATCATTAGTCAAGAATTGGGACGACGAGATTATCAAATGGCTACACGGACGTGTGAAGACGGTGGCATTGTTTGAAGCCAAGCGCGAGACGGTAATCAAGGGAATTAATCAGTTTATCGAGGGAAGCAAGAGGCCACGACCTGGTTTCTCAGCCCAAGTGCTGATCATCTCCTACGAGACGTTCCGTATGCACGCTCAGAAGTTCGCAGACACTCCAGCATGTTGCGATCTGCTGATTTGTGATGAAGCACATCGACTAAAGAACGCCAATTCGCAGATTAACAAGGCGCTGTCTTCCTTGGCGTGTCGGAAGCGTGTGCTTCTATCCGGTACACCGATGCAGAATGATCTGGAGGAATTCTTCGCCATGGTAGACTTCACCAACCCAAATATCCTTGGAACGCCAAGCGAGTTTCGGAAAAATTACCTGGGGCCAATCCTCATTGGACGCGAGCCAGATTCGACGGATCGGGAGCGACAAGTGGCGCAGTCATGCTCGGCTATGCTGTGTGAGATCGTCAACCAGTTTATTCTACGTCGAGGTAACATTTTAAACGCCAAGCATCTTCCACCGAAGCTCATGCAGGTGATTTGTTGTCCGCTATCTCCACTTCAAGACAAACTCTACAACCATTTCCTGTCGTCCAGTGCTTGTCGCGATATGATGAAACGCTCCAGCGCGAATGTTCTGTCTTCTATCACTGCGTTGAAGAAGCTGTGCAACCATCCGCTGCTGATCTTTGATGAAATGGGGAAAACCAACACGAAGCTTCCTGGGTTTAGCAATTGCGCTCAGTACTTTACAGCAGCGAAATCATCGAAAGAAGGTGGAGGTGGTGATAGCAGGCATCGACGAGGAGGCTTCGGAGGACGTACATGCTACCCTGAATGGTCTGGAAAAATGCTTCTACTTGACCGTTTAATGTTCTCAATGAGGAAGACAACAACAGATCGGATCGTGATCGTATCCAACTACACTCAGACACTGGATGTGGTTTCTACACTTTGTCAGGAGCGGCATTTGCCGTTTGTCCGTCTGGATGGAACGACGTCAGCCAAGAAGCGGAAAAAACTGGTCGACACTTTCAATGAACCAACCACGAACTCGTTTGCGCTCTTGTTGTCAAGTAAAGCTGGAGGATGTGGCTTGAATTTAATTGGCGCGAATCGGTTGGTGCTTTTTGATCCTGATTGGAATCCCGCGACAGATAAACAAGCTGCTGCTCGAGTGTGGCGTGAGGGACAGAAGAAAATGTGCTATGTGTACCGCTTTCTAGCGACGGGAACTCTCGAAGAGAAGATCTTCCAACGTCAGCTGTCTAAAGAGGGTCTTCAGAACATCGTGGACGATAAGGAGGAAGTGAACTCGCTGTCTTCTAAGGATCTCAAGAGGCTGTTTGTATTCCGGAAAGACACCATGTCCGACACACACGATCAGCTGAAATGTGATCGCTGTCAATGGAGAAATACTAGTAACGAGACGTCAGCTGAAATAGCGATCGATGCTGCTGAAAATGAAGCAAGAAACGAAATTTCACCTGATAGAGACATCACCAGTGACGAGGACGTTGACCAGGACATAGACAAGGGCTATCATCCGCAAATCGGCATGCCACCAGAAGAAGATTTGAACAGTTGGGGTCACCATCGCTCCTACGCTTCTGTCGATGACGAAGTGATGCAAACAGCCTTACAGCAAGTCCAGAATGACCTTGTAAGCTTTGCTTTCAGCTGTCGTATCGACTGGGAGCTGCTCCAAGAACATCAAGCTGAAAACGAAGAAAAGGACAACCAACGTGATGAAGAGCGGAAACGTAAGCGTATGGAGATTATTGAGGCTGCAAAGCAACGGGCTGAAGAAGAAAGCAAGAGCAAACGCTCCAAAACGAAGAAAAGCAAAAGTATCGACGAGTCAGACGAATCAGAGGCAGGATCAAGCAGCGATGAAAACGAACACGACGAAGTCCTGGGCGAAAGTGAATCGGAGAGCGAAGACGATTTCTTGTCGCGACCTCGGCCTGGCTCCGAGGTCTCTGAAGTTGACATTTCGTGTACGCCAAAGCCACCTCTCCGACGCCCTGCAGCGGCAAATTCGCTAGAGGAATCCTCTCATCCGGCTCCGACCCACTCTGAAACAGCAGCAGCAGTGCCCGTCAAGACGAAGCGGAGTGTGACGTTTGCTCCTGAGGTTGATGAAGGCTCTTGGTCACCGTCGAAGAAGCGAAAGATGAGTGACTTTTCTGATTCCGACGACGAGGATGCCTTCATCGAGGACGTTTTAAGCGATCACCGCCGATCAGATCGTGAGCAAGTCGTAGCTTCGGACGATACTCACGAAGAGAACAAGCCTGCGGCTGCTTGGAGCTGTTCACGATGTACGTTGATCAATCCGCCGACCAACGCTAGCTGCTCAAGCTGCGGTCATCGCTACCGACGAGCTCGACCTCAAATTATTGACCTGGGCGGCGACGACGATGAAGACTGGTAGGGTTAGCATACAAGCAATAGATTTTTTGTCATTGTCTCGGCTCTCGCTTTCTCAATGTTGGAAATAGTTTTACTCAAGTAAGAGCTTTCTTCTTCGACCGAGGAAAAGCTTTAGCGACTGTCGTTATCTCCTCCCGCCTCAGCGATTCCCACACATCATCCGTCTTCTGCAAGATGTCTCCTTTGCTTATCTGAGAACTCTTCGGTTTGCGCCGCGCCATTGAGGACTTTTTCGAAGACTTATAGACCATTCGAAGATTGACTTCAGCAGCTTGTAGCGCTTCCCATGCATCTTCTGCCTCGACAGCAAGTGCATTTCTCGATGAAGAGTTAGTGTGGGCGGCGCTACTGATTGTGCTTTGTTGCAGCCTCGATGTCAAGTCATTTTCCTCCTGACTGTGCCGATGCAGCCTCTCCAGCAATGGAGCGATGGAAGGGTTACCAGGTTCGAGACGTTTGACAGCAAGTGCATCCTCCATTGCTAACTAAAAAAAATCATCGATAAGAATCTTTAACTGATGTGTTTAATTCAAGCGTACCTTCCACAGTCCTCTGCGCTCTCGTGCCAAGGCTCGTCGATAGAACGCTTTCACACATGATGCATCCTTTGCAATCACTCTACTGCAGTCTTGTTCTGCCTCAGCCAGCGTGGCCTCGCCGCTCTCACCGTTAGGCATTTGGATCCGGGCCCACGCGCGGTTCAGTCGCACTGCAGTTTCAAGTCGCTCATCAATAGTGCCGGATTCCTGTAGCTTGTTAAGGACGGAAGTATAGACATGCACAGCCTCCGCAAAGCGCTGCTGCTGAAAGAGTGCGTTGCCCTCATTTTTCATCGCCTCCATCGTCCGAGTTGAAGCGAGTTGCACCCTTTCGCGTTCAACGATCTTATCAATCAAAAGAATGTGCGCATGTCGATTGGCAGTTTCTGAGACTAATTGAGCTTTTAGCCAATCACCCAGTACTGACACCCTGACACGCTTTGCCACTATTGCACACATTTTGACCCGATCCTTAGTCTAATTGTACAGACACATCGGGCTTCGAAGTATGCTACAAATTGAATTTACAAATCCTAAGTACGAATGGGACTGCTCTTTTCGCCGACTGAGGGACTCGAACCCACGCCAACGAACGTCTAAAGCAATGATGTGCCACTGTAGCCATATGAGCCACTGGCAGCATCAAAATTTACCTCACTGCATGACATTACATCATTATTAAGCTTGCTACATACTACGTATTACCTTTCAGTATATTGGAACGGGCACGGTAGTAGCACAGTGCCCGGGTTGTCCGTCTCTAATTGTCTAAGGGTTCACGATGCTCTTGGCAAATGCCTCCACATTGGCAGCACGCGTGGCTGTGTCAGGCGCGTCCTCGATGATCTTGACAATCTTCGAGCCGATCACAACGCCGTCCGCAAGCGCGCTGGCTTGAACGAAGTGCTGGCGGGTCGACAGACCGAAGCCAAGAGCGAGAGGGTGCTTCACGTTGGCACGAACTGCAGCGAATCAAGGGACCACGTTAGCTCGACAATTAAAATAAACTAAAGCGCGAAAAGCAACTTACTCTTGGCCATGAACGCGTCGAGGTTCGGAGGCAGCTCGTTACGAGCGCCCGTGACACCGGTGAGACTCACGCAATACACAAAACCATGTGCCACCGAGTCGATGAGCTTCATACGCTCCTCCGTCGTCGTTGGGGACACCAACGGGATGTACGCAAGTCCGTGCTTAGCTGCGTCGTCACTGAGCGTCTTTGCCTCCTCAGGCGGCAGGTCCACAATAATGAATCCGTCCACCCCAGCTACAAATACGTTTATTGTCAGTTTTTGAGCCCACAAATCTCTCCTGTGGTCGATTACAGGCGTACCTTTCTGGGCGTCGGGGCAGATTTTGACTTCGCCGTACTGCAAAATGTTGTTGTAGTAGCCCATAAGCACCACAGGCGTAGTAAGGCCCTTAGTTCGCGCCTCGCTCACTGTGGCCAGGACGTCATGCAGCGTGATGCCCTGGTCCACGCCCACCTGGTGTGCGCGCTGGATGGTCGGGCCATCGGCCTGTGGGTCCGAGTACGGAATGCCCACCTCTATGATGTTCGCGCCGCCGCGCTGCAGTCCCAGAAGAATGTCCACTGTGTCAGCCTTAGTCTTGAAGCCGCAGGGCACGAAGGTGATGAAAGCCGCAGTGTTGTTGGCCTTCCGCTCGGCGATAACCTCTGAGATCGTCGGTCTGCAACATGCCACGTTATACAATTAATATAACAAGGCTAAATTTGCACGAAGTTGCTGGGATGCCACTCGCACCTGCTCATTGTGTCGGTCTGTTGCTTGTGTGGAGATTCTGAGTGTGACGTAGTGGACGTCTGCCCCGCTTAAAGCACTCAATAACTGTAATTGGTCATAAGGATGCCAAGACCAGGTTTTAACCAATCAATATTCAATATTTTGCGCATAATCTTGATTTTGCCATCGAAATTTATCCAAACCAATCAGATGCAACAGAAATTGCAGTGCAACAGCAGCTGTCCAAGCTCCTGTTGCGTGTATTAATCCACCCGTAGACGCTTCTTGTGCAAACCATTCTTTTTAGGCTGGATGTGACTACGAATACCGCAAGTTGAGCAGATGGGTCGGAACTCGCAAAATAGCGACAGACACACCGGGCAGACGTACGCCGTAGAGATGACCTCGCGGTGACAAAAGCACATCGCACGGAAGTCCACCGAGTCCTGCGATGGCAACTTCAACAATTTGCGCATGGACGGATCTGGTAGATAGATGGAGATCAGATACTGCAATAGTCCGCTATGATCGTTTGGCTTGTAGTAGATGCCGCCTGTAAGATACGCAGCTTGTTGCATGAACGACGAGTGCTCCGTCGCGAGGATGCAGGCGTCCACTGCAACACTCTTCTTCTGAGCTGAAAAAATGCCGTTCATGATGGCGATATAGTGCTCCGAAACGTCCGGAGATTTCTGGATGACCAAGATCCGTGGTCGTAAATCCGGTTCCTCGTTAATAGCACGATTAATGACTGCATGTCACAGCCGAATAGCAATACAGCAGTGTCAAAATCAATTCCCCCACACTTCACGCCATTGCAGAAACTTACAGCATAGTGAACGTGATAGCGACGCAGCGATGGCAGTTTGGTTGGGCGTGGCAGGGTCCAAAGGGGCGTCGCTGAGCTGCTGCATACGCTGCAGGACACCAGCATTGACCTTGGCAGCCTGTTCGGCACTTCCAGTGGTGTCGTCCTGCTCTGGATCCGGGTACAGCATTGCGCTCTTGCCGGCGTGGGCCGCGATGATGACAATGCGATTGCTGCGGTGTAGAAGCAGGTACGAGTTGACGAATACGAGCGTACTGGAGATCAGCTGCTGCAGCCCGGCGCGGTCCGCCGCACTACCGCCATTCGTGAACCAGTGCACGGGGTTGGTGTCGATCACCAAGACTAGCAGCCCTTCATTGGCCTCGGTGCTGATCGCCCTATTCGCTTGCGCCATGCTCGTCTGGATTGACTTTATGTCCCTTACATAAAAGCCGTTGAAAAAAAAACAATTTTACGGACAAAACAAAAACAATACAAATACCGTAACATTCACGTTTTCATTTTGTTACACCTGCTTACAGGCTCCAGAACATGGTGGATACGACGCCAATGACGGCAACAAAGCTGGCAGCAACGAGCTGCGACGATCCGTTTTCAGTCGAAATGCTGGAAGGGTTAGTGCTTGAGGAAGAGTGGGTGTTGGAAGTGCCAGGCGTCGTGGACGTGCCCGAGGTTCCCGGCGAGGTGCCATCACCAGGGGCGACCGTGCCCGCACCTACCGACGTGCTCGTCGATCCCGACGAAGTGGTCGTATCGGAGCTGCCCGACGTTCCCAAATCGTCGTTCTTGGTGAATTTGAGGTTCTCGTACGCCGGCTTCATGGTTCCCTTGTCGTCGAAGATACCGAAGTGCGACTCCACTGTGGTCGCATCATCCGCCTGCTCCTCCTTGTAGGGCGTGTCGAAACCCGCGAAGTAGTAGTACTTCCACCCCTTCGACTCCGCCAACTGATAGAAGTCGTTCAAGAAGACGGCGCCGTTCTCCTCCGAGGCTACCGATCCGTTCTTGGCTGAGCCACCCGTGGGCCAACCGGTCTCACTGATAATGACTTCCATGTCGCCAGCCATCTTGAGCAGAGGCTGAATACGCTTGTTGAACTGAGCGGCAGCCTTGTCCGCCTCGATCTTCTCCCAGAAGGGGAACTGGTTGATAGTCACGATGTCGCCGGCCTTGAGCATGTCCGGGTACTGCACGAACGTGTCGATGATGTCCGTGATACTGACGGGCACGCTGATGTCGTTGTCCGACATGACCTTCTTGAAGTCGGTCACGTACTTGATTGCCTGTTGAGCCGAGATGTCCTCGCGGTACACAGCCTCACTGCCGACGTTTATTCCCACGACGTTGCTGTCAATGAGGCCGGCGCTGATGAGCTCCTTGAAGGCCTTGACTTCGGCGTCGTACACCTTCTCGTCCTCGGACACCCAGACGCCGAGCCATACAGTGAGCGACAAGTCCTTGGCAGCCTTGAGCACGCCCGTGACATCGCAGTCCGAGAGACTGTAGGTACGCACATTAGATGTGATGGTGCTAAGGATTTTGAGGTCAGCAGCGATGGTGTCCGCGGACTTGCACTTGCTGGGATCCCAGTCAGGGCCTTGACGCAGGTCGTAGTTGAGACCGTAGAGCTTCTGGTCCAGCGCCGACGTCGAGGACGCCAGGGCGGCAACAGCAGCAGCGGAGAGGGCGAGCACGCGAACCATCTTGTCTAAGATCGAAGGGGATGAGAAGCCTGAGTTGTACCGAGTGGCCTCCGTCGTCGTCGAAGCAAATCGGTGAATGGCGAGAGAGAGTCAGCTGACTCTCAACGTCACATGATTCGCAGCAACACCTTTTTCGCCAATTGAAGCGCCCTGAGTTATCGTCTTTTGAAACCCGCAGTTGGGTTCAAAACAGTGTTTTCGCGCCCCACATCGTTAGCAGCACCAACATCTTTGCTGGTGCGGTAATGGCGATCGTGGCCGAGTGCGGACAGTCCAAAGTCGATTTTTACTGTCACATGTACATGTATTTATAGAGCGCATGTGACTTGACGCTCGCGGCGGTGAATGCATGTCGCGCGTTGCAATTTGCAACACGCGTCGAGGGCGGGATACCGGTACGTACATGTACAGTACTGTAAAATTTACGCCGAGGTGAGGCGATTCATTAGGCGTAGCAACTGACCCATCGCCGCCACCATTTACAGTGTAAACACTGTAAAAGCCCATATACCAGTGTAAACACGGTAAAAAACCATTTTACAGTGTAAATGGTGGCGGCGATGGGTCAGTTGCTACGCCTTATGAATCGCCTCACTCGGTGTCACGATCTCGGGAGCGTTAAGCGCGTTGAGTCCAGCGAAAAGAGACTACGGTAATCCCGAGTACAAAAGGCAGAAAAACGAGTAAAGTTAATATAAATTTTAAAATTTTTTTTTAAGAAACTGGACAGAAATTGTAACGCGGTACGTATCCCTAAGTGTACCCTGGTTACATGAAGTGTGACACTTCACACTTCAGGTGTATGACATCATACTTCTCCGGCCCACTTCAAAATGACGATTTCAGTTTTGGGCAAAAAACTCTTTAACAAGAGCTAGCTGGTAGACACATGGCACACCACGTCATAGCCCGAAGTACGACGCACAGGAACATATTTTTTAGGTTGTAAGAATGGTAAATATGCGCGTGCACGCTGCGATCAAAACCGCCGCGTTTGGAAAGGCATTAGGTTTTTTGTCGCAATTCAGTCAAAAATTAGCGATATTACACCATACTTTTAGAGCGGCTGAACCGGGCAATTAACAACAGCTGGACGCAGTTTCAGACGCAGGGGCTTACTGGAAGCACCGCGAATTAGATGTGTTTGGGGCGAGGTTTATTCGGAAAGTCGAGAGCATTTGTGTAAACCAACTATTTATATTGACCAATCAGTGATTGCCTAAAAATTATAATGATAATTACGAGCAACAAAAGGTTCAATTAACTTCAAATTTATGCATACAGCTGACTATATCCTTTCGTTACCGCATCGGTGTCGACTACAACCGACATTGGCATTCGCGCATTACGTCCAATATGTTTACTAGCGCGCGGAAGCTTGAAATCGTTGCCCCCACCACTAATCATAATAGACTCCATCACTTTCTGCAAAGTGATAAAACACTTGTCAAGGGTTTGCCACCTGAGCTCGTCGAAAGCTTCCTCAACCGCCGTAATAAGGCTGTCAGAGTCGTAGGCAGATTTTCGATACTGTAGAGCTTGAATAGACGAGAAGTATCCCAAATCAAGTACATTTAGGTCGGGTGACCGAGGCGGCTGGCAGCGCATCTTTATCTTCCATCCATCAACCATTCCAGCATGTTCTAGTTGAGCATCACCTTCTAAAACATGAGGCCCTGCATTGTCCTGCTGGACGACCACGGTCGAGCCTCTGCGAACTAAGAACAAAAAAAATTAATTGAGTTACAGCAATAAAAATAACACTTGAAAAAAATACCTGGCAGCTTGGATCGAATTGCTGGAAATACTTTTTCGACAAGTAGTTCGCGGTAAAGAGCTCGTGTCATAGACACACTCTTCGTAATTAGCGTACCGTGCTCGTTGGGTTTGCCTCTGGCAAAGCGGCACCCCTTGGACGATCTCGATAACTTCTTGCACCGACAGGCGCCTTCCGCGCTTGGGCTGCACTCGCTTCTGGGCGGATATAAATCCGACCTTTTGGCGCGACTTCCAGATCTTCTTGACGCTGTTGCGACACATATCAAAAGCCTCCATAGCTGCACAAACTGCTCCACGGAGCAATTTACCGTTAGCGCTCCGTTCAGCAAGGAACACAACCACATTGAGACGAGTTTCAGGCGTAATGTCTTGTTTTTCAGGTGTTCTGGGCATCGTGCTAAAACCCAAAATGCGGGGTTGACTTTAGTCTAGGCCAACCATAATTTTAGTGGCCCGCAGCCATGCAAAACCAAAGTCTTTTTTATCCAATTGAAGTAGATTATTCAGTTATGTGCGATCAATAAAAAAACCCAATCATCATTTTGAAACGGGCCGGAGAAGTACTCCTGGATATTTGGTACAAGGTACCAAGGTCGTTCAAAGCCAACCATTGGTCAAACGACATTGCATTTCTATAGGTAACTTATAGTTTGTATTAAACCCAAACTTAACCTACCTATAAATATACTCAGTTTACAATCTACCTTATTTAGGTCACTTCGCTCTCTTTAATTAAAGAGGGGACCTGTGAACTGCCGTTCACTGAGAGTTTGTATACTCTCGGTAGATAACTTCCTCTAGCGCAAGGTGCTGTGTGACCCCGTCACACCTGGTAGCACTCGTAGTCAATCCACGCCACCGCGGGTAGACTACAGTACCTGAACCTCTTCGAAGTTCGTTGCCATGGATAGGAACGACTTCTCCCATATGAACGACACTCAGTTCGAGTCGGTTCGGAAGATGGCAGGCATCTTCGGGATGGAGGCCCTGCAGAGCCTGGTGGTATCAACACCGGCTGAGCAGCTCGAGCGCGTCAATGCATTCGACGCGTACGAGCAGGGCCTCATCGCGCATGTGCGGGAGAACCTGCAGGCTCCGGCGGCGGAAGCAAATCCGCCTCAACCGAAGCCGATACGGCTGAAGGTAAAGCCGTATGAAGGGAAGGAAGGCGAGAGCCTTCACTTCTGGGTCCGGGAAGTAGAGCTCGCGATGGACGCGGCTCTGATCTCGACCGAGCAACTGCGTGTTGCTTTTGCACTCTCCAACCTTAGCGGCCGTGCTAAGAGTTGGGTGTACACACGGGAAGCAACATCACCTGGATGTTTCACATCCTGGGCTCAGCTGTGCGAACAGCTCCGAGCCGCGTTCTTCCCGGTGAACTACGAGTACCGCCAGCATTCGCGCTTCCTCGCGTGTAAACAAGGAAGGCGCGAGCTGCACGAGTATGTGCAAGAGATACGGGAGCTCACGGCGTCCCTAGTGGGAAACCCACTCAACGAACACATCAAGATGACTGTGTTCATGGACGGCCTTCGAGTGGGCCCCGCACGCACTCAGCTGTTCCGGGTGCAGTCAAGCACCCTTGAAGAGGCGATTCAAGTGGCTCTTGAAGAAGAGTACAGCCATTGCCAGGCGCGTACGCCGGCCTCAGCGTGGCCTGGGAGTTCCCTGTCGCCCCCCGGTCGAACAAGCCCCAACGGACCAGTTCCCATGGAACTCGGGTCCGCCGAACAGCGTGAAATCCGCTGCTTCGGCTGATGAAAGTTGGGCCACTTCAAGCGCGACTGTCCCGCGGAAAGACTCCGCAGACGGTCCTTCCTCAAGCCCGTCCTCAAGGTTCGCTGGCAGAAGCCAGGATCTTGGGGACAGGGGAACGCCGGGAACCAGTAGGGGCGGGACGCCCTACTGGGGAAGAACTAAGTCTTCGTGATGGGTGCGCAGGTGGCGCGTACCACGGGGACTTAGCCCCTGAGAGTCTTCGCACTCTCGAATCGGCGAAGAGCAGCGGCGGGCTGCTCGTAGTACACGGATGTGTACGGGGATACGATCATCTCTTTAGAATCTTGATTGACTCTGGGGCGTCGAAGAATTTCGCACGCCGCCAGATGGTTGCTCGTAACAGCAACAAGTTGTCCGATGCTTTGAGAGAAAGCAAGGGCAACGGGACGGTGTCAGTGCGACTGGCCGACGGGAAGGTCGTCACTGTCCCCAACGTCCAAGTGGATCTGGCCGTCAAGTTTGAAGCCTTTGACAGCCTCGAACAGTTCACTGTTCTCGATATGGATCCATATGATATGATCCTGGGCATGCCCTGGCTTGAGAGGCACGAGTCCTGGATCGACTGGCGAGGCAAGGCAATCGGTGCCAGCCGCCCTGCGCAGCCCAACAGAGCATTGGTGAGTCATGTTCCCACCTCTGTCAGGACCCGGGGCGCCCGCAAGGGCTGCCAGGGTACCAAAGCATCCGGCAGATGTTTGGGAGTCGTCGACGTATATGACGACTCCGAGGATGCTTTGATGGTGGCAGTGCCCAGAAGAGGCGCTGGCCAAGTGGGTAACTTAGGTCCACAGGCGGGTAACTGAGTTACGCAGACAGCTGCAGCTGTCATGAACACTGAGAACAGCGTGTTCAGAGTGGGTAACAGAGTTCCACTCACGGTCGCCCAGACCATAACTGAAGAGGAAGGCGGTGAACACGCTTCCTGTGTGGGTAACACAGTGCCACACGCGGTCGCCCAGACCTTAACTGAAGAGGAAGGCGTTGAACACGCTTCCTGTGTGGGTACAACAATACCACACGAGGCCACGAGTGCCTCGGATGTCGTAGCAACGACATCCCTAGACGTGGGCAGCAAAGCTCCCCGTCACAGACGCCGTCGACAAAGATGCCGCCGCCGCCTCAAGTCGGATCCGAACTTCGTTCCGATCGACGTCGCCTCAAGCGACTCGGAGTCCAGGGCCCGGGCTCCTCCGACAAGGCCGGTGGAAGAGTGTTATCACTTCTTCGATGGCGAGACCGGTTTACCCGTCAAGGCATCTGGTGTCCACTTGGAACCGTTGCCAGAGGTTGCAGAGATACTGCACCTCGAGGAAATGACGGCTGAGTCTTTCCTGACCAACCTCAAGGCTGGAGAGATTGCCGAGATGGTGCCCATGAGACCTGAGACCACTCAGGAGGAGTTGAACGCCTCCTCTGTCTTGGACGAGAACGTCCTGGAAGACATGAACAAGCAGCGTCAGGCGCGCTTGGGCTCTGAGATTCTCAAGAGCCCCAAGGATCCGGTGTATCCTTTGGTGACGGAGTATGCGGACGCGGTGAACAAACACCCACCGACCCAACTCCCACACGATCGAGGCGTACGGCACGAGATTGATCTCGTGCCTGGCACAAAGTATTGTGTCACGAGGCAATGGCCTCTCCCGCGCGAGCAGTGCGAGGTCATTGATGCCTTCTTCGCCGCGAAAGCGAAGGCAGGCATGGTGCGGGAGTCGAAATCCCCGCACTCGACGCCGACTTTCTGCGTTCGTAAGCCGAACGGAAAGTGGCGTCTGGTTCACGCTTATAACAAGCTGAACAACGCAACGGTGCCGGCTCAAACACCGATCCCACGAAAGGATGTGTTGTTGAACAACATGGCCGGGAGCGTACTGTACAGTGCGCTGGATTTGGTAGACGGATACTTCCAAATCCTGATGCGAGAGAGTGACATCCAGCTCACCGCGGTAAGCACTCCAAGCGGCATGCTTTGGGAGTGGCTCGTCATGCCGCAGGGCTTGTCTAACGCCCGGCGACGCTCAATCTCCTGGTGACGCAATTGTTCCGCCCTTTGCGTACCTTCGTACAGACGTACTTCGACGACATTTTCGTCCATAGCCATGCCGAGGGAGGCAAGACGGCCATGGAGGTGCATCTAGGACACATCCGTCGAGTGTTGGACGTAATGCGAGCGATCAAGCTCTACGCCAACATCGACAAGTGCGTTTACGCGTCACCAGAGATCAAAGTTCTCGGTTGCTTCGTAAGCAACGTGGGCGTTCGGGCTGACCCAGACAAGGTCAAGGCCATAGCAGCATGGCCGACGCCCCGATCCCAGAGGGATCTTCGAAAGTGGTTGGGCTTGGCCAACTACCTTCACAAGTACAGCGCGGGGTACGCGGGCTTCGCTAAGCCCTTGTCGAGCCTCCTTCAGAAGGACGTCGACTGGCGCTGGGAACAAGAGCACCAGGATGCTTTTGACAGCATCAAGGCCAGTCTCCAAGAGGCCCCTGTCCTGGCTCTGCCGGACGAGACGAAGCTGTTTAGCGTCGTCTGCGATGCCTCCGATTACGCCATCGGATGTGCATTGCTGCAGGACGACACGGCTGGACAGGAACGAGTCATCTCGTTCCAGTCCCGGCAGCTCAAATCCGCCGAGCGGAACAACCCTGTCCATGACAAGGAGCTCCTGGCAATGAAGTATGCCCTTGTGAAGTTCCGTGTTCACCTTCTGGGCTCTAGGCCCTTTGTGATCTACACAGACCACGCGTCCTTGAGGACGGCGACTAACTCGCCTCACCTCTCCCAAAGGATGGCGAGGTGGCTGTCCTTCTTCGCGGAATACAACTTCCGCGTCGAATACAAGCCGGGCAAGCTCAACGTGCTTGCGGACGCCCTCTCTCGGCGTCCCGACTATGAGTTGGCCCACATCACGCGGGTGGCAACGGATCTATATGATCGGATACGCATGACGTATCGGGACGATGAGGCTGTCGCGCCTATCGTCAAGTTCCTTAAGGCCGGAACAAGCGCGAAGTCCGACTGGCTCTCGTCGCGACAGCGCTCACGGCTCCACCGATATGAGTTGAAGTAGGGTCTCCTCTATTATCGGGTGGAGCCCAGTGATCCTCCACGGGTGGTCGTACCCAACGACGAGGATCTGAAGTTCGACATCCTCGCGGAGGCGCATGACGCGCCCTCCAGCGGCCACTTGGGCCGCGAGAAGACCTTTCTGTCGGTCTCTCAGTCCTTCTGGTGGACCCACATGTACAAGTGGGTCGCCCGGTACGTCAAGACATGTGAAACATGTCAGCGGGTCAAACCCGCAGGGCACTCGTCGGCTTCACTACAGAGCCTGCCCGTACCGGCTGATTGTTGGAAGTCGATGAGTCTTGACTTCATCTTTGGGCTTCCCGCCGACGGACACGGCAACACCGGAATTTTGGTGTTCGTGTGTCGGCTGAGCAAGATGGTACATCTTGCTCCAGTTCCCGTCACTGTAACGGGCGAACAAACCGCAAGGTTGTTCGTCGATGGCGTGTTCCGCTATCACGGTCTCCCGGAGACGATTGTCTCGGACCGAGACCCGCGGTTCACTGCTGCGTTTTGGAAAACGCTGTTCCCTTTACTGGGAACTCGTCTGCAGATGTCCACTGCGGACCATCCGCAGACCGACGGCCAAACAGAGCGCGTCAATCGAGTGCTCGAGGACACTCTGCGCAGTGTGTGCGCGGCAGCACCACGTACGTGGTCGACGCAGCTCCCAGTTGTTGAGTTTGCGCTCAACAACGCGGTGCACGCGTCCACGGGGTTCACGCCGTTCTACTTGAACGGCTTCCGCCACCCCAGAGTGCCTCTCACTCTTCGTGGAGACACTGACTCCTCTATTCTAAGTGGGGGAGAGGCTCGGAAAGCTCTTTCCTCCCAGGTCTCTGATGTGAGGCCAGTTTCGCTGCGGAAATAGGTGGAATCCTTTATGGATACCAAGCTGAACATTGTCAGCAGGGTCCGCGATGCCATGGCAGCGGCCTAAGATAAACAAAAGGAGTACTCGGACAAACAAGGAAGAGGAAACTTAAGTATATTTGAGATTGGTGACTTAGTGTTGCTAGACACGAGGAACCTACCTCTAGACACTGTTAGCTCTGTCGGCAGCAACAAACTGAAGCACCGCTTCATCGGACCTTTTGCAGTCCTGGCCAGACATGGTGCGTCGTACACCATCGACCTTCCAAAGTCAATGACGACGCACCCGACAATCTATGTCGGACGTCTTTAGCGGTACGTTGACCCGCAGGGGGTTGCTGACTCGCAGACCCCCCTTGACCCAGCTCCTCGAAGCGAGGGCCGGTCACAGACGTCGACGAGGGCGTCGGAGCAGGCACCCGAGCCTCGGTCGGGACGGCAAGGCTGCGGTCAAGACCGTACGCCGGAGGGGCTCCATACGAACGGACCCCGGCGCCATACGCCGAGTACGCTGAGTACGCCGGGTACGCACCATACGCGTACGTCTGGGAGTGTGCCGCAGGCGGCTCCGGACGTGGCAACAAAGCCTCGATCCGTCGGATCATGCGAAAGGCCTCGTCCAGATCGGTCGAAGAGGACCGGCAATCCACCCGCAGGTGCAGGCTCGCGACCTCTCGCTCCAGTAGGTCCAGGCGGCCCGCAAGACGAGCGAGCTCGCCCTGATTCCCGGCCTGGGCGGCAGCATCACCGCCAGTCCCAAGGTCAAGTGCAATCTCAAGCACGAGGACACAGTGACGGAGGTGGTCAACCTCAGGTCCCTGCGTCGGACCCGCAGTCGGAGCACTCGGACGAGAGTGGCTTTCGGGAGGCGCCGAGTACTCGTACTCGTACGAGGGCACCTCCGCTCCTGCTTGACCGGAATGGAGAGGTCCACTTCCACGTGGAGCGGATCCTCCAGGAGCAGCGACGTCGCGGTAAGCGACAGCTCCTCGTGAAGTGGAGGGGTTATGCCCACTCCGAGAACTCGTGGGAGCCGATTGAACGGCTCCTGATTGACTGCCCGAAGACTGTCGCAATCTGGGAACAGAAGCGGCGGCAGCTTCATAAGTAGTCCGGGGCTTCTTGCCCGAACGGGGTACGGTCGATGAATACATACCGTACCCGCGCTCATCGTGAGCGCTAGAAGCCGCGCGCTCTCAGTGATGTCCCTTGGCAGCATACGCTTGCTGACCAAGTGGGCAAACCTCACACGAAGATCACGCTGGTCCAGGATGTGGGACAGCTGCTGATCTTCATGGAGTTCCCGTAACTCCGTGGGTGAGTACTTGAGAGACTCCACCCAAGCCCAGAACATGTCCTCACAAGAACTCCAGGTGGGACAGTTCTCGGGCATAACCCAGGGGTATCCCCAAAGAGGATAGAGACCACCCCGGTTCTCGGGCTTCTTACGACAAGTCGTGAAGTCCTTAAGGGGAATGCGGTGTGGCGCGAGAAGCACATACCGAGCAGCCTCCAAGTTGTCGACGAACAACTGTTCTTTCTGAACAAGGGCGTGTTCATAGATGCCCCTAGAAGTGTGGCCGCCCACAAGGCCATGAGGAGCGACGAGAACCTCCAAAAAGAGGTCAGCCCCAGAGCTCTCCTCGGGAGGCCAATACCCTCTTGAGTTGATGGCAGCTCCCTGGCTGACGGGTGCCGCCACCGAACCCCCACGCACACGCTGGGCAGCTTGGAACTCCTCCTGCTGCTGGTCGAGGTCATTCGAGACCTCCCGGGGCTCAACGATAGCACCCTCCTCTTCCTCTTCTTCCTCCTTCTCCTCCTCTTCATCCGAGGAGTCGAAGATACTCCGATAGGAGCGACGAGTCTCCTTCTCCTCGCGGAGTGGAGACTTAGAGGCAGTACGCTTCTTTGAGGGCTTGGCGCCTTCGGCTTTAGAGGCCTTAGCACGCGCAAGACCCTCGGCAAGCGAGAGACGTTTGCGAGGATTCCCTTCCTCATCGCCACCGGCTTTGGGAGCACCCTTAGCCTTGACGGCCGGACTCTCAGAGCGCACAGAGGTCCTGGGACTGTGATCACCTTGATCACTAGCGAGCGACTGCACGCTGTCATCTTTGTGCTCACCGGGCATTGGGCTGTGCCCTCCCACAGAGCCCGCAGGAGCATCGTAAGTGCTCTCGGACTCAGCATCGTCCTCACTGCCCGAGTTGAACTCACGTTCCACGAACCGAGGGTTCGGACGATTGTCTGAAGATGAGGGCGACGGACTGCAGCGCTTGCTTGCTCGCTTGTCCACAGCCGCGTCACCCGAAGAACCGATCGCCTCGGAGGCCACCTGAGTAGCCTCCTTGAGTGCCGAGCCTTTGCCGCGAGGCTTATTGCTCTTGGCTTGCGCCTTACCGGCAGCAGCCTTGGAGCGTGTCTTAGCACCGCTCTTTGCATTGCCACGAGGCGTGGTAACGGTCGAATTGGAGACCTAGACGAAAAGCGCACAGGTTGCTGCTCGAGGCTCTAGCTGTGAAGTGAGCCTCCGCCGCGCTCGCGCGGCCAAGTCGATGGTTTTCGACTTTGAGAATGAGAGTTTGTGACGAACACCTCTTCATTCTGATTGGTCGGTAAACCGAACCTAAGTGGGGGAGGATGTAACGGTGTACGTAGCCCTAAGTATACCCTGGTTACATGAAGTGTGACACTTCACACTTCAGGAGTATGACACGTCATACTCCGAGATATTTGGTACAAGGTACCAAGGTCGTTCAAAGCCAACCATTGGTTAAATGACATTGCATTTCTATAGGTAACTAACAGTTTGTATTAAACCCAAACTTAACCTACCTATAAATATACTCAGTTTACAATCTACCTTATTTAGGTCACTTCGCTCTCTATAATTAAAGAGGGGACCTGTGAACTGCCGTTCACTGAGAGTTTGTATACTCTCGGAAGATAACTTCCTCTAGCGCAAGGTGCTGTGTGACCCCGTCACACAAAGCCACACAAAGAGAACAAAATACCGAATATTTTAAAAATTTCATCGTTTGTAGACATTATTGAGGCCATCCAAGTGTGTGGACGTGGTTGCACAATCGTCGAATGTCGTGCGAATGTCATAGGAATACGATGAAGTCTGCGTGTTGCCAGATTGTACACATGACGTAGCATTTTTTCGCAAGTGAGTCCGTGGGTCCGATGTGGAAGTAAGGAAATCAACGTGAGTCCGTGAGTCCGATGTGGAAGTAATGAGATCAACGGAGGCCCTAATGACATTCTGATGTACAGCTTCATGTACCAGAAAGTGTTGAACATCGTAAAGAAACCCGGTTGATACATGAACGGAATGAATTACGCAACTTTTGCAGTTTGCTAACGTCTCTCCTAAACATGCAGTGGCTTCAGTAGATATCTCATCCTGTAGTACCGAGGGAGTGCCTTCAATGGCGACTTCGGGAGAACGACGTCACGCACAATGCTCTCAAAAAACGGGAGAACAAGAGGTCCGCAATTGTGTCCATCTGTCTGTTTCAGCCACACTTCTTGTTTCCAATCCATTTTGGCTACTATCTCTGGAAAGATTTTCTTGACAATGTCTTCACACGTTTCAAGTTGCTTTGGCTTCTGTTGGGGGTCAAATACTGTGATCCGGTTTGGTGTGGACTTGAAGTCAAAGACTGCACCGCACCAGTGGTTTCTGTTGATATGAATTGGCAGCAACACATGCGTGTTGTGCTCTTGGAATGGATCGGAGCTGCTGATGACCTTCTCCTGCGTTTCAGGGTCATCCGTACCGGTAACGCCTGGCGAAATAATACCAACGTGTGCATGCTCTTCTTGGATCGTCGTCATTACGTGCATCATGCAGTCGTCGTTCAGCCATAGGTCTTCTCTTAGCAGCAGAACGAATTCATTCGAGACCATTCCGAACGGTGTCAAGCGTGAGATTGGTAAGACAATCTGCTGCATCGCTGTGGTAGCCTTGGTCTTATCTAGCTCAACATACTCATTGAGACCTTCTGGAATATCCAGTCTGTTTAGCGACGTAGCTTCCATCCACTCAATTGTATCAGACACTGCCTCCAAAGACTTCATCGTGTGCTGGTACTCCACCATTACTTGCACTTGGTCCTCACTGATGACCCCGATCTTAGCGAGACGAACACCTACGGGTGACTTCGGATCTGGTAGTGCCTCTCTGTACGTTTCCAAAACTTTTCTGCATTTATGCGTGAATTGCTCGGTGAACACGAACTTGACGCTGCTCAGGGCCTCACTGGGGGCTACCATCTTCGCTATTACTTGTTTCCTGGGGCCCAGCGTCTTTACCGATAATTTGGAGAGGAACTCGTACGCGGATTCGTAACTGTATGTCGACTTCAACACTGTGGCCACATTGCTTAGCGTGATAACCGGCGTCAACGTCCCTTGCACGAGCTGTTTGGCTTCCTTCAGAGAGTTCACCAATCGTTGCTTCTTCACTTGTTGTTTCTGGTTCTTTCGTATCTTGGGCCGACCGCGGCTTTTGGTGCCTTTCGAGACGAAGAATGAGCATTCCTCACTTGAACTGGAACTAGGATGTCCGCCATCTGAAAGCGCTCTCTTTGCTGGAGGTGCTACTTGTTTTGTCTCGTCATAGCTCGAATGTGATAGCCTTACAATACGCCGCTCGTCCCGCATCTCAGATTGATCGGGGAAACCTTGCGCATCACTCGTCACTTCGTCGGAGTGACTGGCCCCTCCAGAGTGACTGTTGCTATCCGTCACCTCTATCGTGTGACCCGTGTGACTTGAATAAGGTGACACATCACGTAAGTGACTTGGTGATTGAGCCACCATAGGCCCACCGCGACCCAAAGCATCGTCAGGTTCCTCAAGGTCGCCCTAACGCTGTATCTCATCCTCGTTGTTGGAGATAGTGGCGTCGGCGATTGCAGTTGGAGGCTCACTGGTGTCATCGGAATTTGCTGCTCCACCATCATGTATCTCAGCGAAAGAGGATTCAGTTGAGAGAGTCGATCTGGCCATACAGAAACGAAAGGTGCCTCTCCATCCGTTGCAATGGACTCAAAGCGCTTAAAACTTTCCAGCATCTGGATAAACACGGGAGTTCCATTCCGGCTCATGATATCTGCAATTCGCGTCGCTACAGCGTGTGATGTTCGGAACTTGTTAGTCCCGTTGAGCACTTTGTGGCGTACCGCTGTCAAAGCGGAATTTCGCACCCGAAATGATCCACTCGTTGCTTCTCCGTCTTCTGCCTCCTCATCTTCTTCAACGGGAATGTTCAGCGGGGATGACAGACTCCAACGAGGGTGGATGTGCTTGACTGGAATGGGACTTTTTCCACAAAGTAAACGCCAGTATATAGCATGACGACAGGGAAGCAGCTCTGTCCTCATGAAAATACACGAACAGTGATACGTCTGTCAAGTCAGAATAACCATTCAATAAGTATTGACACCATTCAGCCATTATGGACAAAACAATTCACGCATCCTAGTATCAAGACTGTACTTTCGACTCGTGTCAGCTGCTGACACCATCTCAATCATGTAAGATTGTCGCTCGCGCGTTGTATACGTAGTCTTGCGATCATTAGCAACGCGATACTGTTTTTCCACCAGTTCGTAGGCGTGCTGACTAACCTCTTTTGATAGCTTCGTCAACTCAGCATCAGCTCCAGCGTAACGCATGTGTCCAACGTCTGTCATTTTCTTTGCATACTCCATCTCCGCAATAGTCTGCAAGAACTGCAGAGTATCCACGCACTCATCGAGCGCCATCGTAGACTTCAGCACGTCCTTCAAGTGGCCCCATGCCGCCTCCAACCTAAGTCGTTATATAAGTCAACAGTTAGCAATTAGAACTTGAGACAGCACAAAAACGCCTCAGTACCTGTTGTTTGTCGTTATTTCCCAAATGAGGGACGTCTACACGACCAAATCCACTCCACATGTGTCTGCAATTGTGCCAATTCTCGTGGAAGTACTTCAGAAATGGGTGTGCTGAGTCCTCTGGAATATCTTCTTCGAGTGTAATTTGCTTTCCGTCAATCACGTAGTACAGATGTCTACGACTCGTTTCGTACTCAAGCTCCGTCTTGGCGTCCACCATCATGTGAACGGCGTCCTCAACCTTATCCCGATCTTCAATATTATACTCCCTCTTTGCCATTTCTCCCCGAAGATACTTCACCACATGAAAGACACAGAGCAGAATTCTTGCTGCAGGAAAAGCCTCCTACAGAAGCGCAATTTCTCCAAAGTCTTTGTCCACGATAATCACTCGAACTTGGTCCCAGGTTGAGCTAAATGATTTGAACGATTTCACTGCATCCCCCAAACAATCAGCACTTTCGATCTCCATGAGTGCATGCTGCACGTATTGCCCCTGTACACAAGCAACCACAAAGAGGTACACAATTGTAGCAATGGCACACAACTACAGTAGAGTCACATAGAGGCACACAAATGTAGCGGGACACACGGGCACAGTAGAGTCACACAAACCAGCACAGAGGTACAATTAGAGTCACACAATCGACGCAGTCACCAAGAGAGTACTTACATGGCCGAAGACATCGTGAATTATGAAACTGAAGAGCTTGTATCGAGCATCGTTGGTGTTGTGAGCGGCGTCCACCATCAACACCTGTGGGAACGCCTCAAAGAATCTTCGCATCCGGTGGGTTTGAAAAGGGATCGTCTGCGCTAGCTTCTCGTCATCCACATAAATGGTCGCCGTATTACCCTTTCGAGAGCAGAAACCGCGCAAACCAGACTCCAGTCTTGCCTCGACGGTTGTAGCTCCACGCCGCGCCTCTTTCAGCTTCGCCACAATATTGTGCACATCACGCAGGGTAACATGCTTGCCTATTAGCCAGGCATTAGAACCAAAACAAGCATAATAACAAGGATACAATCATGTAGCGTACCAGTTTTCTTCCTCAGAAACTGCAGAATCAACTTTTTCTTCGCCCCGGCAACTTGAAGCTCGTCCACGAAGTCAGTCACGTCTTCGTCTGCAACGCGTCGATTTGAGGGGTGATTTCCATAAGATCCTGAGCTTAGTGAGTGGTTGTGCGCTGTCTCCTGGTGCGTAACCTTCACTTGAAAACCCTGAGCAGCATCCCAAATTACGACGCCCGTCATCTGCGCTTGACATCCGGTAGACTTCACGAAGTAGTTATGCCTCTTGCCCTTCGAACGACTGGGCCTTGACCAACTACGCGTGCACACCAACTTTCGGTAGTACTTGTCGAAAGCGTCTGGTATAATGGTCTGCGGGGTGTCCTTACCACGGTCTCGGAGATCCGCGTTCCTCGCCGTGGCGCTTGTAGAGGTCCTCTTCTTGAATATCTGGTGGGTTTTGTGCTGATATGCGTCAAAATACTCGAAAAACGCACCCCAACTCCCGAACGTCTCCTCATCCATACGTGGGGCTCGGGCGACAACGGCGGCAGATGTGGGGACGTGGACCTCCGGGTATTTAGCTTCAGTGGTCTCGGCGTCGGGCTCGGATGCCGACGCGACGCTCGCCATGCTGCTTGTCCTGCTTTATGCGCCTCTTTTGAAATGAAAGGCCCAGAATAAGTTGGGAGGGGTGAAAGGGGGGGGTGTTTTTCTACTTTTGATGCTGACTGATTTGTCGGGATTTTATCCGTCAGGAATTTTTTTTCTTACCGACAATTATTGTGTGACTTTATCCAGCTCCTCTTAATATTTGTAAAGGGATACACATATTTTCCGTGCCCCTCGGTCCGATGTGGAGTTTAGATGACCAACCTAACCCTTGACGGATTGATTGGCCAAGACTGACAAATTATTTGAATATGATTGGTTATCCAAAACAAATAAATATATTATTGGCCATTAATACTGATAAAAAACCTTAGGGAGGTCCGATAAGTGATGATATTCATCCATAGGCGATTTGTTTAGCTACCTCTCTGGTTCAGCTCCTCCGTGACGGCCAGCGAAGGAGTTAAAAATCTGTTCCAATGTCGTCTGGGACAGGCTGTACTCCTTAATACCTAGCCGGCCTTTCGCGGCTTCCACGACCTCAAACATGCGCGACAGTACGGTGACGATCTGCTTATCGCTGGCCTCACCTTTCGGTGCAGTCACTTTGTACCTACAGAAATCGGCCTGGCGCTCGATGAGAGCGACGTTCGTAAACTGAGTATGAAGGAATGTATCCAAACGCTGCACGCTATCCTCCAACAACCACCAATTGCAAAAGGAAGCAACATTGACAGCACAATTTCCGCGGTTTAACTGTGTTGAGAAACTTGCAACCGCAAGGTCTGCAAACGTTGCATTACCAAGTGCAGAGCAAACCCCGACAATTTGTGGAGCGGTGATCGGAACGTCATCTCCTTGAGTAGAAGGAATCTGAAGGTGGTCGCAAACTAGCTGCACCAAGTCAGAGAAGGCGTGTCGGGGAGGCAACTCCAGCTTGCATTCTAGCAAGAACCCGTCTCCAAATCGATTTTTCAGATGTGGAAATGCTGCCAAAAGCATCGTAGACCCCCCGTCCACCATAATGCCAGCCTTGCTACACAGAGCTTCGCATTCCTCCATGGAGTGTGTCGTTAACATTACAGTGGACTTTCGAGATTTTACCGAGGCCTCCAAGATGACGTTCCAGAGTAATCGACGTGAGAACGGATCAACCCCAGTCGACGGCTCATCCAGCACAAGAACACTTGGCTCGCCTATCATCGCGATCGCTAGCGATAACTTGCGTTTGTTACCGCCACTCAAACTACCTGCAAGTTTATCAGCGAATCTCTGAATCTGAAGCTTGTTGAGTAAGCGATCCACTTCCTTCTTAAGTCTGTAGGTGGTATCGAAGCCTTTAAACCGACCAAAAAGCTCAAGATGTTCACGAACAGTTAGTAGATCAATCAACGCGTCAAACTGGGGACAGTAACCAATTGAGTCACGAGCTTTGCTGCGTTCCTTGCAGATATCAAAGCCGTTTATCGTCGCAGTACCCGACGTTGGTAACAAGTCGCCTGTCAAAACTTTCATCGTTGTCGTTTTCCCGGCGCCATTGACACCTAAGAAGCCGTAACATTCTCCTTGTTGCAGTCCAAACGAGAGTCTCTTAACAGCCCGCTTTCCGTTCGGATACACCTTCTCAAGCTCGACGATCTGGACAACCTCAGAGTTGGTAGCAAACGAGTTAAAGCTCTCCTGTACACGTCGAGCCTCTGCAGCCACATCTGAATCAATGTCCTCTCGGTCAACCACCTTGTCTCCAGTGGATTTCTGTTGGATGTGAAGCTTGGAGCTGGTGCAAGGTACACGCGTGTACATGCGGCGTGCATTGTTGATTTTATCCACAGCCTGAGCAATACGCCAGCGAACAGTTCCAGCTTGAACGACATCAATCATCACGGTGAGTAAGAGGAAGACCGGACACTCGATCAATAAGTACCAGATGTCTGTACCAGCCACGTCAGCATCAAACGCACTACGTGGTGAGCTAGTAAGGCCGAACAGTGCTAGCAAATCTGCCAACAACACGTTGAGAAACCCGTTTCCAAAGGCAAATAGAGGCGAGCAACGCCAGATGTAAACCAAAACTTTATTTGCTGGTCGGGTCGAGTCCAGAGAGTTCATCGTGAAGCTTAGGAGCAGCAGTAGGAGACCCAGGAAGAAGTTGATCATAACTGTATATAGTAAGCACTCACTTGGCTTCTCCATAACATGAGACAGCAAGTATGTCCACGGAGCAATGGCAGTTCCAAATAACACAAAGAGTGTAACCATGGCGGCTGGCACGTCTTGAGTGCACGAGTCACAAGTGTCACCGCTACTTAATGACTTAGTAACGCCGTAAGATCGAAGAAGCACAAGCGTTGCTGCCATCGGAACGAGATATAGAGCCACGTCGAAGATGAAATTCGACAGCCAGTAGGCTGAAAATGACATTCCGGAGAGTAGTTGTTGGTACTTGGCGTTCTGTTCCAAGTGCTTCTCCTTGACAATATAGGGCATCATCGAAGCAGGAATAAAAGTGAAGGCGATCACGACGAAGATCACAGCTGGGAAGCTCAAATATGAGCTGAAGATTGAGCGTGTCTTGAAAGAAAGAGGAAGTGGATGTGACGATACGCGTATTGTCACGTTGGATGCCGATCCTCCTGACGCCTTGGACAGCAAAAACCGGTGGATAGCACTGTCAATCATATGCTTGTACGTCGGTGCGGCATGAGTTGACGAACCATTTGCCACAACGTTGTAGCTCAACGTCTTGGTAGATTCGGAAGCGTACAGCAGGTAGCCACCAAACTGCCCATCAATTCCCGTCTGTGTTGGTAACGCGGTCGTATTGGCCCCGGGGGCATATCCGTAGCCCTTTGCAAAGATTAACTCGGCCAGTTTAAGGTTGTAGCCGGTTGAATCATTTGATTTAATGGCTGGTGAATCATACGTGACCCCGAAAACTGTAGGCGTAGATATCGCGCCGTATACAGTTGTGTCAATTTCAAGTTCGTATGTAGCTCCTTCCGAAAAGTATTTTTGTTCAACCAGCTCAGAACACCACGTAGTACTCCCGTCACCCCACGGACCAAGATTTCCAGGACAGCCGAACGGGATTGGGGTATTCTGAGCAAGTGAATACTGCACAGTTGGGGATAGCTCTAACTTCGGGTCGTTTAGTAAGACTACGGAGAATTTCAATGCTGATAACCCGATAAAGATAGCAACAATCGGAAGAATGGTGCTGAAAAATAACATGTTGAAGTCGCGCTTGCCACATTGCACTCGCTTGCGAAGCAAAGCCTTCATCTGGTTCATAAATGAGCCGATCCCTCCCTGGGAACGCTGCGATTCGGTTCTATCGTCCTCGGTTCCATCTTTCACGACCATCGCTGCCTCATGGGGTTGTACCGTGATCGACAGTTTGCCGTCCATTTTCGTATCTACTCGACCTTCACGATTTTCTTCAGCTAGAACCTCTGCAGTTCCCTTTTCAGCCACTTTTAAAAAGATTTCTTCAAGAGTAGTGACCGATATAGCAAAAGAAATAATACCAAGCTCTCTCTGATGTGACTCCAGTTCGCGGAATAACACCGGGAAGCCACCAGATGCTTCAAATGGCAGTTGAAAGGTTAACTCCGTTCCAATATCCGACGCGGTAATTACCTGAGGCACATGTTGTTGAACTAACGCTGCGATCGACTGTGAGGACACGTCATTGTCACTCTGTCGCGCAAAGCTGAGTCGATAACCCACTCCAAATCTCTTCTTTAAAAACATCGAAGACCCAACGCATTGCAGTTTTCCCTCGGCCATAATAGCGATCCTATCTCCAAGAATATCAGCTTCGTCCATGAAATGGGTTGTCAAGATCACCACCCGTCCTGTACGATTGCGTTGTATAAGCTCCCACGTACTTCGACGACTGTACGGATCCATCCCTGCTGTCGGTTCGTCGAGGAAAACAACGGTACTATCACCAAGAAATGCTATTGCGAGCGACAGTTTGCGCTGCATTCCGCCCGACAGTGCGCGTGACCATACATAAGTCTTCTCCGCTAGACCCACTTCGTTAATCTTCTTGGTGATTTCTGCTGCGAGTTCACTTGCATTCGTTATGCCCTTCAGACATCCATAAAACGTAAGATGCTCCTTCACCGTTAGATCCGGGTAAAGTACGCTGTGTTGAGGGCAATAGCCAAGAGAGCGGCGGATTTTACGCATATCCGTCACGACAGAATGACCACGCACCCACGCATTGCCACTGGATGGTCGTGTCATACCGGTAAGCATCGACATTACCGTCGTTTTCCCTGCTCCATTGTGCCCCAACAAACAGGTGATCTGGCCCTCGTACAGCTTCAAATTGAGTCCATGCACTGCGATTTTCGTACCACCAGGAACTGAAAACTCCTTTCGTAAACCGGTGATGACCACTGCGCGTCCAATATTTTCTTGCGCCTCCAATTCTTGAGGAACAGCTTCCACAGTGTCGTGATTCGTAGCAGGTACGTCTCCTATCTCTACAGCAGACACTAGTTTCGAGGCTTGCCGACACCAGTACCCTTTCGTCAAGAAGAAATACCATTTCTCCGCCACTCCAAACTCCTGTGGCACTACTTTCTCGAAATATTTACCCAATAGAATGTACAGCACCGTGTCTAGAATCTGCATCCCGACTGCATTTCCAAATCGGAAATTGTTAATATCTTCGCTGGCGTTATCGTGGTTCACTCCCACCCCAAAGGATTCAAACTTCGCAATGACACCAATGCCTTGTGACAATGAGATCGGTGGAAGTAGTGCTGCGCATGTTCGACTGGCTTCGCTCGTGTTGTCACTGAAGCTGTAGGATATGAAAAACATGATGAAAAACAGACCCATACCCGCCAATGACCCCGCACGTGCCCTTGAAAAGAGACTACTGATCATGAAGCCGTAGCTGAAACTGCTAGTAGCAAAGGTGAAGAAGAAAACGAACAGCAGCGCTGTATCTGAATTGGGAAACAACAGACCATGTGCTCCAAACGTTTGCAGCATTGCTCCAAGTAGGAGGATGGGAAGGTACGCAAGCACCCAACCAGCAAACAATTCCGTCTCCTTTGCTCCTAGAATCCGCATAAGTTCTCGAGACCTCGTTTCTTTCTCCATTAGAAACGACACGATGACACGTGACACGAGATACAGATACGAGAGCACGAAGCCTATGGGAAAGACCACAGCGATCTTGTCAAAAAATGGAGCGTACCGAAAGGCTTGGGTGGGAGTTCCGTAGACCCCTGCGCCATGGTACGATTGGGGTGCTATTCGCAAGGGTACTAGCAGTCTTTCCACACTCAGTGGAGGAATTGTATCCACAGAGACATTCGAGAGAGTCATCGACGCCATACTGGTGATCGAATCCTTGACTGAGTTCAGTAATTTGAAGGCCGTGCCAAGGATCATGTCTTTTTCGAGTTGCTGTAGCAGCCGACGGTCATTCTCTGCACTTGAAGTCGTCACAGCCTGGTCAACTTGACATGTTCCATTCGTGGTCTTGGACTGCGTATCCCATATTGGCATGCAGTTGAGAAAGCGAGTCACTAGTGTCTGCAGCGTCATAAAACCTCGAGTTGCATACTTCATAGTGTTATCTGCGGGGGCAAACTTTGAGATGGTGTTGGGTCTCGGCTTCTTGGTCTTTGGTACTGCAGACACACTTCCAGTCGAATTAAATCGTAGCGAATAGGCAATCGAATAGCCTTCCAAGTCACCAAAAGTAGAAATGTCGTCTGGAAACTCCTCAAAAGCAATAGCTCCGTAGATTTTTGGGTGTTGAACGTCGGTGCCGTATTCCTTACTGGTCACGTACGTCTCCAACGCTGATTCATTGTCGAAAAACACGTGCGAGTCAGTGAAGCTTGAAATTGTCAAGAGCGAAATACCTCTCACGGGTGGCGCAAGAGCGATGCGTGGATACCACGTTTCTAATACAGCAGCGAAATACTCTCGTGTGTACGGTGTATCCGGGGTGATTGCAATCTTGTATGGCACAACTTTGCCCTTACAAGCATTGGGAACATGATACGTGGTGCGCTCAGCTCCAGTGTAGCCAAACAGCAGAAACTTGAGAGCGCAATCCATGAGCGCTTCTTCTCCCAGTTCGGCGAGGTTGTCGCCTTCCATGAGAGCTTGAAGCGATAAACTCAGCAGTAATCCAGGCATCGTCGTTTCGGTGTAGTAAAACCTCGGAATCTGTAAGCTGGTACTGAGAGTTTCTAGTAACGAGGTAGCAGAGAATGTTCCATCCGACGAGTTGCTGCCACTAGCACTATTGGAGTCCTCTGGGACGACAATTCCTGCACTGTTCAGGCCTTCGTTCAAAGCGGACTCCATGTCTGTCGTAGCGTAGAGGTTCCAAGTGGATCCATAGGCAGGAGCTGACTTGTTAACGTCGCTGGAAGCCCATCCCGCAGGGACAATCAGGTCCGGTTCGAATCTCTTCAATGCAACGAATAATAAGATGCATAACAACGGATTGAGAATCTCACTCCACGTCGCGAACGGATGCCGTCGCTTGGCCGTCCAGTTCTTGACCACAAGAGCTCGTAATACTGGCAGTGTACGACGTTCACTCTGGAACCTCATCCGTCTTGGGCGAATGGCAACACGAGAGCTCAGATGCACGAGCACAATGACTCGGTAAACTACAATACAGCAATGGGGAAGCAGAAAAATTGTGAAACGGAAAAACGGACGCTTTACTTAGTGCCAGCTAGCGGGCCCTGTTGTTTTCAACACGCTGCCATGTTTGCTCACTTGTCTGCTACCTCTTTTGCCTCACGCTTAGCTTTAGCTGCTGCAATCTGCAGAGAATTACGTACATAAAGACAATCAGTCAGTACTGCAAGAGAACTCGCTAGCCTTTTTTTCTCTTTTGTTTAACCTTGGCTGCCATTGCCTCTTTCCGGCTGCCAAACTTGCGATTCTTGCCGTGAATACGACTCGCCTGACCGCTTGCGGTGGTGGCCGCGATAGCCTGCTCTGCCGTCTCCTCACAGGCCTGCTTGAGTTTCAGCGCTACCCGCTTGTGCTGGATGTCGGCCATGGTCGTGTGATGTCTGAGAATGACAGAAATTGGTGACAAAAATCACAATAGAAAGAGCAAATATATGAAATCACAAAGAAAATCTACACGAAAATGATTGCGATAACCATTTCTTTGGCCGCGGCATATCAATTGTAAGAAGGACAATCGTCATGGCGCCGCTCTCTCGAGGCAGCATTTCCTCTGCTAAGAAGACCGCGTCGGCTGCAGAAGGTACGTGGCGTAATTGCAAGCTGTCTGCACATTGGCTACCGTGTTAACTGTTGTATTCTAAACTGTATCTGCGGCTGTGTCAGCAGCTCCGATCTGGAAATCCTACTTGGCCATCCGTTCGTCGGCGCCTAGCGACGATCCCAATGTCATTAATGCGTCAGATCGTATGAGAAAATTCAGTGGAAATGTTAAACTCCGTGGCCGGAAGAGAGCGAAGCCTTCTGGTAAAGCGCACGGGCCAGGATCAGGTATCTGGATGGCCTTGGCGACTCCCTTCACGTCGACTCGTGGAGAGGACGGCAGAGCCGTGCCGACAAGCATTCGCCGCTACTGGGACCAACTCAGTGTCAGTGAGCGACAGCAGATATTGTTCTTGGACGAAGCAGATCTCGTGAAACAACTGTACAAGCTCAACCTGAGTTTGCTGTGTGTTGGGCTCATGCAGCGTCACCTCAGGGCATCAAATCGAGCAGCTACAGACACAACTGCTGCCAGCAAGAAAGTGGCCGCTGTGTCAACTTCGACAATAGCTTTAAATACTGCAAATACCAGTGCAAAACCAGCGCAAGAGCAAGCAGCAACGCAGTCACCAATGCGTGCAGCATCAGGCACCTCTTTGGAGGATACATACGTGCTTCTTGAAGCGATGGAGTTCATGGATATTGGCACTGGTTTGTACCATCTATACCTGCTATACCGTTTGTTAAACCCACACTTATTGTGTTATATGGCAGGTTTCTTGACTGTGAAAACGGAGCTTGCAGAGGACACCGACCGATTGTTCACGCTGGTTGGAGACGTTTTAGCAGGGTTCTTGACGTCGACCCACGTGCTGACGAAGAGTAGCTTCAACAAACTCTTTGTGACGGAAAGTGAGACTATCAACACTTGGGCAGACTACCAGCGCCTCATAGCGATGCTTGTGGAGCAGGTACGGTTTGTTCAATTCGTACGTGTACGGTCGAGTATTCATGTTATTGTTGTATTCTTTGACTTAGCTTATTCTCCGAAGCTACGTCATTCATCTGGAGAAACAGGCGGCACAGCAAATGGAACAACTGCTGCTGGAAGTGTCATTGGAAGATATAGCAGGGCATTGCACGTCAACAGGGAACTCAACAAAAAAGAAAAGAAAGAAGAAAAAGTCGACAGCTCACACGAGCACAGCGATGCAGCAGACCAAAACTCTCGAAGCCACCAGCGATGAGCCAATGACACCTAATTGTGATGTCACGCACTTGGAAGGGAGAAAGACACCACTACATGTAGCTCCATATAGCGATGCAATGACGGGGGAGCTGACACCTGAGAACAAGTCAATCGACTCAATCGACCTAGAAAGTACCTGTCAGTCGAATTCATCGACAGCTCAAACCGATGAAGGCACGGTGGAGGAGAACGAGGCTTTTCCTGCTGATTTGGGTGTCTCTTTGAAAACATCGTCGACCCTAAATCCTAATGCCTTGGCTTTCCAGCCCCAAGTGCACGTAGTGCCAGTCAAAGGCACGGGGGTTCGAAATCCATTCGCAGGAAAGCGAGCATTAGATGAATGCATTGTCAGAGTGCCGTGGGAAGATGTTGAAAGCGATGCAGATAGCGCCTTCGACATTGGCAGCGTGGATGGAGATATGTTTAATAGAGAAGCTGGGGATCGAGGCGCCCAGCAGTGGGGGCGGAGAAAGCAACGAAGACGTCATCAGGATGCAGAACTGGAGTGGCAGCTGCAACAAGTTTATGCGTCGACGTCCTCGCTCTTAGGCTGGGACTTTTCACGACAGTGTGAGCTGCCAGACCCATGCGCCAATCTCCCTTGGAGTGATGCAACCCTGTGGAGAACGGCACCGAAAGAAGTCGTGCGGTATTTCTCGCCTGGAAGTGGCGATGCGTATGCGAGGTTCAATGCGCCTCACTTCTTACCATCTGGATCAAGTCCTTCACCGTCGCGATACTACTTCAACCCGGGACAGCCGATGCCGTTCAGCCCTCCATTGCTGGCTTCGGGAACAGAGACTATGCCACCTCACCTCCATGGAAGCTTTGGCTTTCAATCGGCAGAAATTCCCATGGTATTGTCACCCGACTTCTCCAATGCACAGTATCAGTGGGGCAGCAGTGAGGATGAAGTGGACATCTAGGGTTACCTGTGAATCTGTGACGTGTGAACAGTACTAAGTAGTTGTTGATCAAAATGCTGTTTATTTTTAATTTTTTTCAGAATCCCATATTTTAAGGTTTTTTACAAAGCTGCGTAAAACAAGCTTTTTTTTTTTAAATCAAAGTGAAATTTAAATCAATTTTTAAGAGCCATGCATAACAAATTTTTTAATTAAGGGAAACTTCCAATTCGAGGCCGGTAGATCTATTCGAGGCCGGTGTGGTATTAGCCAATGCATTCGGTGTATTACGATTTCCAGCATGCCATTTGTAGATAAACAACTAAGTACAAAACTCACAGAAATTTATACAGATTTGGCGCGAAATGCTGGCGGGAGAGCGATCACTGCCAGAAAGCAGCGCTACTGTAAGCAGCTTTCGTTTCCAAACCAGCTCGATGACACCTACCTACACGGTGGACTTTAAACAAGCAACAATCGCTCAAGTTCAAGCCGGCAGTACAGTGGTTGACGTCGCCGCTGTAACTGGCGTTCATGAGAGAACTATTCGAAAGTGGCTACATGCACTAGCGGAGGGCAAGTCACTGAAAGCCGGACGGCCTGGGCCCAAAACGTTCTTACCGAAAGCAGCGGAAGACCATCTATACGACTGGGTGGTAGGACGACAGCTCATTGGCCACCCAGTCGAGCGCGCCGTGATCATACGAAAGGCGCAGGAAGTGGGCCTGCTGGGCTGTGGCGAACGTGTGGGCCACGGTTGGTACAAGGGCTTTAAAAAGCGCTATCCAGCGCTGACCGTGCGATCCGCCCAGTCGCTTGCTACAAAGCGTAACTTTGTTGTTCATGGTGACCTAACTACGCTTTTCAACACCCTGGCAAAGCTTATCATTGAGCTGAAACTGGACAGCTCGAGGGTCTTTAATATGGACGAAACAGCTTTTCAGAAGCAACTCAAGAGCAAGAAAGTAGTCGCTGTTCGTGGATCGAGTAACGTTTGGAGTACAGAGCCTACAGCTAATTTTCACCTCACAATTGTTGCGTGTGGAAGTGCTGCTGGCTTTGTAATACCACCGGCTTTTGTTTTGCCTGGAAAGACCGTTTCACCTGGATTGCTGGAAAATTGCGAGGCAAAAGGCGCTGTGGTCACGACTTCAGCCTCGGGCTTTATCAATACCAACCTTTTTGAGCGATGGTTGAAGTTCTTTGCAAGCGCAGTGCCTGATTCCATTGCACGTCCACTTGTGCTGATTTTGGATGGATGCGGATCTCACTACTCGGAAGAGGTGCTTGCTGCAGCAGAGTGTCTGAACGTAATGCTGGTTTTCCTGCCCCCGAACGCCACGCACCTTCTGCAGCCATTAGACGTAGCCGTATTCGCTACACTGAAGAGCAAGATACAAACTCTGCTTGGGGAGCTCGTGGAGGAAGACGAGAACGGATACTACAACATTAGCAAAGACGATGCGATTCAAGTGGCTAGCATGGCCTGGCGAGGGGCTCGGATCGATCGAAATGTTAAGGCAGGGTTCAAAGCTTGTGGACTGTTTCCCTTGTCTTTAGTTAAAATGGGCGCCCGTTTGAGCAATTTCACACGAAATGGGGCACCTCGCCACGTCCTGCTTGCCACATGGCTGCATATGAAGGCGCTTGTCGAAGACGAAATTCTCACAATGCCAACTCCACCGAGCAAAGCCCGCGGTCAGAAGCGCAAGCGCGTTTCCGTCGGCGGACGTCTCTTGACACATGAGGTCTTACAGGAAATTGAAGCGTTCACCGCCAGATCGGGAGCTAAAGGTCGCAAACACGCGAGCACGAGTAGTTCAAGGGCTAAGCCTTGCAAGAAGACGACCTCGATGTCGCCAAGCGTTGACACTGGTAGTGATATTGTAGGTTCTACAGTAGTTTAGACAGAGCAACTGTCGGTACGACCTCATAAGTATGTGGAACCTAAAGATTGCCGTACCCAATTGGTTAAATATGTGCGTCTGTCAATCCGGCAGCGTTACCCCCACCCTGCCGGGCAGTTTTACATCACACAGGAGGTCTTGGCTTCAGCAAAAGGTAAGAGTCGCTAGCCATGACGCATGAGCAGCCGTACGAGGTTCTCCGGGTGGCAGCGGAGCTCTGGGGACTCGAGCAGAGCCGGCGCCCCGCTCGACATTTCGAGCGCTGTCTGTGTCTGCGTGCTTCTGGAAATGCAGTCCTTTCCAAAATAGCATCACCTCTCAAACCTAGTAGCCTATGATAATGCCTTAAGTACGACCGAAAGTCACCGCTCTAGTAGACCTAGCCCTGATGCTGGTGTACCAATGAACATACTCAAGACAAGTCTAATACCGGCCTTTAATTGAACCTCCGCCACAATTCCAGTGGTTTCTTTAAGTAACAATACAACGACCAGCACTGTCATATTATGTGCCAATCACCACCTTAAAAAAAGAGTTGTTCGTGGAGTGGTTTGGGTTTCGCCAAATTCAGGGTGTGACGGCCAGATAAATGTGTAGCACTGCCCGAATTTTTGTCAGATTGCGCTTGGTTCCGGGTTTTACTACGAGTTGCGCTGATTTTACACTAAAATTGCGTTTGTTATGAGACTTCGGCGCTTGATAAAGTGTCCGCTGCGGACTTCGATCAGGTGATTTGCCTTCACTACGCT